AAAATATAAATCTAGATGAGCAAAAACTCCTAAAATAGACTCCAATAAAATAAGAGGAGACATCATTATTCAAATTAGGCTCAGAACTTCAGACTCAAAATTCACTATCTTCCGAAATCATAGTATATTCTCAAATATATATAATAAGGTTTAGTTGTAACCCTAGCATAACATTGGATTCATAGGTCAATTAATCGGGAGTTAAATCAGGTTAGAAATTCACGCTGAATCACTTTTAACTCTCAAGAGATTATCCTTGATCCGCAATCATAATTATTTCCCGGAATTAAATCAAACTTATTCGAGTCATCTCAGCAGAAGATATGATTAGATCATCAATCGTCTTAAAATATTAACTCCAAAAGTGGGTTCAAGAATCAAATCAGTTTGTTCGAGATAACAAATTAATATCCTCTATGCGACTCTTATCCAATAAGGGATACTTCTCTTGATGACGATATATGATCAGGATGGGCTAAGGTATCCAGGTTTAAAGGTTTTAGCCTCTCCTAAAATAATACAGGCATTTAAATCATGTAGCGGAATCTAATGTAATCACTTTAATCTCATCCTCAAAGAATTGTCTTATCAGTGCGATTATCATTAGTATCCACGATAATGGAATTGCACTCGTCTTAGGTTTCAGCGGCCATCTTTTCTTTTTAATGATCTTATTATATACAACTTACGAGGTGTCAAGTGGCTGGGGAGGCCTAAAATGTGACTGGATGGCTTAGGAGTCGGCCCAAGTTGGCGGAGTCATATGGAACCAGATCTTTCCAAAGAAGCCCAATAGAGGGTCGGCCATCGAGGCTATGAGAAAACCTACAGGTTGAAGGCACAGCACCTGATGTTACTTAAAGGATGGCGTGTGGTCTCGACCAACAGTAATGTCCAAAGTTTTGTTCCCAACTAAAAGAGGGTAGGTAGTGCTCTAGTAGATTAACGATCAACCAAGGGTAATGGTTCTTTGAAAAGTGTAACACCCAAAGATTTGATGAACAAGGGGTTGACCTAAGCTTAAAAACCAGTTGGTTTCGGTCGACTGGTAGATGCCGTCGTTATTTTATATTCAAGTTCTAGCCCTCGTGTCTTTCAATTAGAAGTTAGGTACTCACCGTGAGTTTCTTTATATCTTCCAATCCATCCAAAATTGAAGAGACTAGCCTTTTAGATGAGACTTAAGAAGATGCTAACCTGGTAGGGACTCACGGATATGACGGATTCAAAATAGTTCACTAATTTGTCTAACCATTCCCATAAAGTAGTAAGGGTTCCGATTAAACATTAAAGATGCGGTAGACAGTTAATGTGATTCTAAGTGATGTTGTGTGGCTTAGCTCAAGTCTAGGTTTGATAAGCAGTGTGGGCATCTTCCGATTATCACTGAATTTGACTTCTAATGAGGGGGACGTACCTAGAGTGGGGAGAGTCAACATGTTTCTCGTGGTTTTAGTTTAGAGAGCCCACAAGACTAACTAGGTCATTCCTAACTTCTTTTTCGAAGTTATGCGGGTTCCATTTGGACAAGTGTTAAGTGATGCTTAATGAAGAGTGGGTGTAAGGACATTCATTAGGACACTAAGTTAGGCTCACTTAGACTCACTAAAGGTTGCAGAAAATTTGTTTGGACAAGTTCAAGCTGAGGATTTACGTTGAATTTTAAGCTCACCTAGGTCACTTAGGGAAGGGTTGCCTTAAAGGCTTGGACAGCACTAAGACACTAAATTGAAATGCTCCTAATCCAACTAAATGGTTGAGATTTTGTTTGACATGCAAACCACAGCAGTTGGTGAAGCTGCCTAGGTGTTAGATGGGTTTTGGGAAGTGGACGGCGCCTAAACACTAGGTTTTTAAGGGTCACCAAAATCCTCTAAATACTGCTAAAAATTTTTCTGGACAGGAAGCCATAAATGGTTTCTTTAAGTAACCAGGACAACTAGGGATGTTATTGTGACAAGGACAACACTTAAAAACAATGAATAGACCTTAACGTTGATGTAAACAGTGCAGGATTTAATGGGCAAGCAAGGAAAAAAACAATGAAAATTACATTAACTAGGCCAATGGTACAGCAATGAGGTGAAAGGAACTAGACCCAGGAACTTCTGAGCTACAATGCAAACAGCTTAACCATTGTCTAATACAAAATAATGAAAATGAGCAAGAATCGAGGAAATTAATAACTTGTGAACTTTGTGTAGCTAATTAAAAAACGGAATGCGATCCAAGATAGATGTAAGAAAATCTTCACGGGAATAACAAGTAATGTCAATTTGATTACAATTAAAAAGCAACATGAGTAACAAAATCATTTCAACAAATTAAATAATAAAGCAAATGGCTCTTAACAAAAATCCACGGTTAAAGATTCTAGATCATTCACCTTGGATCCCTCACATGCACCTTGATGTCGCTCGGCTTAGCGAAAGGGATTGCACACAAACTTAAGGATGCCACTAATAAACAAGTGATTGCCGAGGGGACTAGTCTCAGGGAAGGAACCGGAGTTGGGGAAGTGGGTGGCGTCCGATTGAACAAACCCCACGTACTCTTGGGTTGTTGGAGTTTGATGTCTTCCGCCGAGGCAGTAGAGGATTCGTTTGCGAACCCCCCCCCCATATCTTTCCACCATTTCATCGTATTCCCAATAGGGTTTCGTTAGGATAAGGAAAGAGAGCGAGGATATCGATCTTCTCCTTGGGGCGTTGTAAGCAAAGCTGTGACAATCTCCAGATCCGGCCATGCATGATCTTAGAAGGGATCCCTGATCACTTAGGGAAGTTGGCCAAGGAGAAAAGGAGGGAGGAGGGGTTCGGGTGGGAGGAAAGGAGAGAGGGGCGGCTTTTTGCTAGGTGGGGGTTTGGTGCTGAGGATTAGTAATCTGAAATTAATTTCAAGTTAAGTGGATTTGAGGGAAATTAATTTTGAAAATTCAAATTAATCCCATAAGGGGGGAGGTGGGACGGTATGAGGGACATTAGGGTAATTAATTGGGTGTATTCGCCGCATGGCTTTTCTGTCGTGTAATTAATGAGATATGAGATAGGAGAGGGCGGATTGAGTGGACCGACCAAATAGGGAGGGGAGAAAGGGATTTTGTTTTAATTGATGTTGGGCCCAAGGATTTAATTAGTGGATTTAGATCAAATCTGAAATAATTTTTAGATTTTAAATTCAATAGGCAAGTTTCCTAAATTAAGTCCAAGCCTTTGGAAGTACTTTGAAATTTCAAAATATTTGATTGAAATCCAAATAGGAAAACTTTCCTAAATGCCTTGAGCTCATTTAGGAAGGTAGTAACTCCCTTTGAATTTGAAATTCAAAATAGAGCCAAAGGGGGGCCGGCAGGTTTTGGAGCTTGGGGAAGAGGGGGCAGCGGATGGGTTGGTGGCCGCCGTTTGGGATAAAAAAGAAAGGCGGCGGCTTAGGGAGGCCTTAGGTGCCGGCGGGATGGGCTTTGGGGAGGGGGATCAGGTATGGCGGAAATTAAGGGGAATACTGGCGGGTAGTGAGGAGAAAAGAGGTGTAGGAAAATTAGATAAGTCAAAAAGACTAACCGAGAGCTCGAAGTCAACCGCGGCAATGTCGGGTATGCAAATCACCCTCCTCGGGATTCTCCTCTCATGAACTCACTTAGAGATCAAAACGAAGAACATAAAATTTCATTAACACATTTAATCATCTAGTATGGATGCATGCGGGACCTCCTTTAAATAGGCCAGCATGAAACAAAAGCTAGAAAGACAGAAATGCCCTCAGGGCTATAATAGCGACTCAATACCCACAGGGGTAAACTAGGAAAAGAAAAATGCGAGAATAAATAAAATACAAAATAAATCAGAAATAAAGACTCTGGATCATAGCCGTCGACCTGCGTCTCCGACGATGGTACACGTGTCGAAATCTGATGTCCTCATCATTTACTAAATCTTGCAAATATGGATTTAGTAAATCCTATGCTCATAAATCCTGAATTGTGTTTGGTATAACAACTTTTAAATCTTGTTAAATCCAAAAAAGTTATTTGCCAATAGATTATAGGATTTAAAGCATTTTGAGATTTAAAATTGAAGGAGTAATATGAAGCCACTTAATTCGCTTCTGCATTAAATTATAAATTTATTTGTTCTTTATCACATATTATATAATAATTATTCTATTTGAAATTATATTTAATCCTACTAGCTATTTTGAAATCACTAGTTACTTAACTAATTATTTATTTATTATTTAAGTATTATTTTGTTAGTTTTAATTATAAATTATATTATTAATCATCTCATTAATTACTTTAGAATTAAACTACTCATTAATTATTATTTACACTAATAATTATATATTTAATAATATATATTTTAAGATATACCAACAAAGCTAATTATATAACATTTAATTATTAATTATTTAATTAAGTTAAATTTGATACTTAATTTATAAACTAATTACATTATTAATTATTTAATTAATATACTTAATTATTAAAATTTTAAATTATATTAATTAAGTTAATCAATAATAAGCTTGGGGCGTCTAGGGTTTGTTTCTTTTCGTCGTTGCTGTTCGGCTTCGTTGCTTCGCAGGCTGGTCTGGCTGGAGGTGTAGAGAGTGCACGCGTCGCTTCTGCGGCTCCTTCGTGGCTGTTCGACTAAGCTCCTTCGACTTCGACGACTTTGCCTTCCTGTCGGATCGGAAGTTAAAGACATTTTGATCGGAAGCAATAACGGGAGCTCGCTGGTTGTGAAGTTAACTTCCTCCCTTTCGCGCGCTTCTTCGGCCAAATCCCGTAAATCTGCCGAACCGAGGGATTTAGTAAATCCCGGATTTATGCCGTAAATCCTTAAATCCCGCTCTAAACCCGATACCAAACAGCCCAGGGAGATGTCGAAGACTTTGGTTCAGCCCATCGGACAGAAGAGGCTGACGAACGTTGCCATCGTCCGCCTCAAGAAACATGGCAAGCGGTTCGAGATCGCCTGCTATAAGAACAAGGTTCTTTCATGGCGATCTGGAGTGTATGAAATCCTAAACCTATGTCTTTTGTTTCCATTGTTTGTGATACTTAGCTACAGTTTCGTCAATAATCTCGTGAACTTAGAAGATCCGTTCGGCTTTCGAAATTCGTGATTCTTACCTTCTGTTCCGTTAGAATTTAATGGTAACAGTGTCCTGAACGATATTATAATCGTGGAGGAGGAATATAATAATAAGCTCAATGACACATTGGTATATGGAGACGGCAATATCTCTTTTGAGTACCTGGCAATATATGAAGAGTCCAAATCACATGCAGACACTTTATTGCTTCAATTCGATCCCCAATATACTGTCTTATTATTTCATCATCGAAAGATGAGTGTTAACTTAAATTACTATCTAAGGCTGAATGCTTAATTCGCTTGATTGTCAGTATGGGGTGTCGAGGGATCTTTTTTCGGAGGTATTCATTTGGGTGGACTTCACCTCGTTGTCCACATGCTTCAAAATGCTAGTAATTCTGCTTATTTTTCATTTCATGGTCTCCATTTCAACCCACTTGATTTTGAGAGATCTCTTGATTTCATTCGTTGCTGTATTAATGGATAGAGGAATTCATGTAATCAGGATTACCAATATGAATAATAGAATGCAGAAATGTAACTAGAATGCTAACTAAGATAAATAAACTAGTGTAAGGTCTTACTTGGTGATGATGGATTTGTTCATATCTTCTTGTTATTTTTGTTGGTTCCTGATATTTTTTTATTGGTTTTTGCGCTCTTTTTGTTTTAGTTTGCATGTCTTAACCTTGGTTGTGTGTTTTAAGTGATGGAAAGATTGGTAAGGAGAGGAGCTGAATGTGTGTGTGTGAGAGAGAGAGAGAGAAGTCCAAGATGGTGGCCAACCTCGCCTTACATCAAATGTAAATTCAAATTAAGAGTTGCTTCTATGCAAACACCCTTTTTTGGTCAACCATTGGCCTACTTCCCTCGATATTTTGAATTTTAATTTAATTGTTATAATTTTATTTTGAATATTATAAAATGATTGTTAATGTCCCTAATACAACTTGGTATAAAAACAACCAACGAAACTCAATAAATTCAGCAAACACCAGATTTTTATTGATGAAAAAAAATAAAAACAAGCAAGATACAATGATCTTCTTTTGAGAGGAGGATCTTCTCTTCCATTCCCTAGACCACTAGGATCTCTCACAAAACAGTAGACAACAAGACTCCAAACAAAATTCTGTACAAAACTTGACATAAATCATACTACTTATACCAAATAATTAACAACAAATATCAAAATAGCCCTCCAATCAGCTTTCAAATATGTTATCTTTAATTAAGAAATATCTCCTAATTAACCCTCTCGAAATTAGCCCCCAAATCCGTCCTCTTTGATTAGGAAATATATCCTAATTAATCCCCTCCAAATCAACACATATATATATATATAAATTGTGCCTCAACCCGCTCGCTGAATCCTCGTTGTTTGTAGACGTTGATTCCGCCTTAATTCGCATGTGTGTGAAGTTTTTATTTTTGATCGACAACCCTGACTAATATAAGTGTTGATCTTGGTCATTTCAGTGATTTGGAATTTTGGTCGATACATTTCGGATGAATTTCGTACAATGTTAGGCCTTTTGCTTTTTGTTTTCATCATGAACTTGGAGCAGGTATTGAGGTCAATACTCCCATTTCCACCCTTATCTCCCCAAGAAAGAAAATAGATACTACCACTAAAGAAGAAGAAAATTCCCAAGGCGCAAGTTTTACTCTTCAAAGGAACACTTGTCTTCTTCTAGGCTTCACATCCCCCAAGTGAACACTAGCCATTTTCCTTCACCTTCAAAACCTCTTACACACCCATCTTTCCTTCATTAACCTCCAAAACACATTCTAAGGTTTGGAATGAGACCTTGAATCATGAGATTTTTTGTTGGTTTTCATGGTATGGTGAAGAAGAAGATGAAAGATATGAATAGGGATGTGCTGGGGTTAGAAATACAATAAAGTAATAAAAAAATGCATCCATGATTGGTTACCAAATCTTCCACGACCGTGGAAGTCATCAAATTTACATGGTTACCATCCGCCCAGCGGAGTAAGATTTCCAAGTCCTAGAAACTTTTATAGAACCAAATAATATTTTTCATATATTTCCATCATATTAAATATGCATGGGATGCTTACAACTAATTTACAACATTCAAAAGAAAAATGCTCCAAATAAATAAAAATATCAAAATTTGAACGGAGGAGGCAGGTGGTTTAAAAATGAATGTGCGCTTATATGGAATCGCCTCTGGCCCTCTTCACTTGAATTTTCATTTTGAGGGAGGTGGGCCTAACCATTTCGTCTTGTATTTGAAACTATATTTGGGATGTTGATATGTAAGGCATCACTTGGCTTGCATGACAACTTTTGGTCTAGTTGTACATGAAAAGTCTAATCACATGCATATGATGGTAATGATCATCCAGCCTCGCTTTCAATTTTCTTACAAACTTTCTTCACCAACTTTGAACAGCTAGCTTAACTTTAAAATTTAAAATTTAATTTAAATTAAAAAATATATAAATTTTGATTGAATTTGAACACCTTGTTCAACATCAGTTGATGTGATACCAGGAATTGAATCTCAGAAAATTTAATAAAAGTTGTTAAAATAATGAAAGTTCAATCTTGACGCTTTTCTTAAGTGATATTTCAAAAAGATCTTAGATTTTAACCAAGTCTAGGCAAGTTATTACCGCTAAATTAGCAAGATCTATAAAATAACGATGACAATAAATAGTAAAGCTAATGAAAAGCCAACTAGAATCTGGCGGTTAACAAAGTGATTGTCTCACCTTGAGGCTATGCTCATTTGTCTACTTCTAGGGTTGTCGGAAGAAGAAGAACCACACAAGGGATGAAACCACTCCGAGATAGACGGTGTTGAAGATCCGTAGTGAACGAGAGGAAGGCGTAGGATGTGGAGGTGGCGTGAAAAGTCGGCTGTCGATGGTCCACTCGTAGTCCGGACGTTGTCTATCAATGACTTGGATGAGGGTCGGGAGGATCCGATCCAAATAATCTCCCACGGTGTCTTCGTCGGATTCAAATCCCGCGTCAATGAACGACGATTGTAGGACGTCGAGATTACCGTGAGCATCGAACACAAGCCCCCATTCTAGCTCGGGATCCGCCATGCGACATGGAGGTGAAGATGGGTGGTCGCCACAAGAAGCTCTCCAATGGGAGGGAGAGGGGGTCAGCGGGTTGTAGAGGTGATGGGAGGCCCGCGGTAGAGCTAGGGTGAGGGTTTTGTTTGAAAACTGAAATTAATTTCAGTTTAAGGGAATTGGGAGGGAAAATTTGAGATTTGATTTTCCAATTAAGAGGCAATTAAGGCATTAAATAAATTTTAATTGAATGGAGCCATAAGGGGAGCCGGCGATAGAGAGAGAGGTGAAGGAGGACTTGAAAACTGAAATTAGTTTCAATTTTTGATGTAATTGGAGGGAAAGGGTATTTGGGCTTAATTAGGATTTCAAATAAGGGGGAGTTAATTACCTAATTAATGGGAATTCCACCTAGAGGGGGGGGGGCATTACTAGAGAGAGAGGGAGTTAGGGAGAGAGGGAAAGGTTTCCAAAAATAAAAGATGAATAGAAAAATCTGAAATAAAATCCAAACCAATTTAATTTTAACTTTGGATTTATTCAAAAACTTTCCATAAATAGAATTTCCAAATTTGGAAAGAAATTCAAATTTGAAATTCAAATTTCAATGAGGGGTTGGAGAGGGAGATGTGGGGAGGTGGTGGAGAGGGAGGAAGGTGGGGAGGAGCCGGCGGCAAGGTGGCCGGCCGGCCGGCGGGATTAGGGTGGCCGACGGGTGGGGATCCCAAGGAGATAGCAAAAGTGGAGAGGGTCTACTTCTTTCAAAATCGTGGGTATGGATTGTGGTATTTTGTGGATGAGGAGAAGAGCTATGGATGTAAATACCAAGAGAACTCACAAAGAGATCTCATGCAAAGAACTCACCAAGAGATCTTCTTGAACTCACAAAGAGAACATAATAGTAGAAAATTTTCATTCATCAATTCCCTTAAACTGAAATTAATTTCAGTTTTCAAACAAAACCCTCACCCTCTCACCCTAGCTCTACTACGGGCCTCCCATCACCTCTACAACCCGCCGACCCCCTCTCCCTCCCATTGGAGAGCTTCTTGTGGCGACCACCCATCTTCACCTCCATGTCGCATGGTGGATCCCGAGCTAGAATGGGGGCTTGTGTTCGATGCCCACGGTAATCTCGACGTCCTACAATCGCCGTTCTTTGAATCGGAATTTGAATCCGACGAAGACACCGTGGGAGATTACTTGGATCGGATCCTCCCGACCCTCATCCAAGTCATTGATAGACAACGTTCGGACTACGAGTGGACCATCGACGGCCGACTTTCCACGCCACCTCCACATCCTATGCCTTCCTCTCCTTCACTACGGATCTCCGGAACCGTCTACCTCGGAGTGGTTTCATCCCTTGTGTGGTTCTTCTTCTTCCGACAACCCTAAAAGTAGACAAATGAGCGTAGCCTCAAGGTGAGACAATCGCTTTGTTAACCGCCGGATTCTAGTTGGCTTTTCATTGACTTTACTATTTATTGCCATCGTTATTTTATAGATCTTGCTAATTTAGCGGTGATAACTTGCCTATACTTGGTTAAAATTTTAAGATCTTTTTGAAATATCACTTAAGAAAAGCGTCAAGATTGAACTTTCATTATTTTAACAACTTTTATTAAATTTTCTGAGATTCAATTCCTGGTATCACATCATCTTGGTAGCAGAGCATGGTTAGCATGCTTTGCTTGTGCTAGGTGTATCCTAGGAGTCTAATTTATCTTGTCATTAGTCATTTGCATGCATAACACCATTAGGTAGCTAATTTTGTTGATATACTTTGCTGTCCAGTAATTTCCTGAATGTTATTTTCATTGTAAACAAGCATCTTTACTTTAACTAAGTGTCGTCCTTGTCACTTGCCACCCACCCAATCACCTAGGTCACTTGCCACCTTAGAAAACATTGCTGTCCAGGACTTTTCCTGCACTGTTTAGTGACTTTTAGGTGCCCTTAAACCCTTGTTATGTTGCTGTTCACACTCTACAACCATCCTTAAACACTTGGACAACTTACGCCATTGTGTTAGGTTGCTGTCCTTAGTATTCCAGCAGCATATAGAAGCCTTAGGAGCCTCCTACCATAGCGTCTAGGTGCTGTCCACCACCCCGACACTTTTCCTTTCAAACCCTAACCTTCACCCATGGATCTGGAACACCTCCAGGCGACCCTAGACCTCATACTGGGCCAATTGGGAACTGTTACGCAGCAAATTCGTAACACTCAGACGGACTTAGTAGATTTTAGGAGATTAACCAATAATCGTTTAGATAACATAGAGCGTATTGAGAATCCCGCGATCTATACACCTTCACGACCTCACTCACCCTATGGTGAGGATAACAGAGCAGATCATGGCCACCCTAGAGACCAGTACCGCCATAACCCGAGGCCCCATCAAGACCCCGTAGGAGACGAGAACTCTTGGGCTACAACAAACACTAATTCCCTCATAGAGGTACAAATGGAAAAGCATGAAATATAAATTACATGAATAAAATAAAACATAAAAATAAAGACTCTGAATCATGGCCGTCGCTCGACGACCCCTCCGATGGTACGTATGTCGGAATCTCCTATGGATGTCCTCATCATCAGTTCTTTTTTTTTTCTTTTTCAAATTTTATCTATGTTATAATTCTCTAATTTTTTTAGTAATTTTATTTTTCCAACGTCTTGGCAAATCTTTTGCTCTCCATTGTACGCTATCCTATGAAATGCTGTTTTTTTTTAATCTTCTGCAGAGAAAAAGATTTGGATGAAGTATTGCAGTCGCATACCGTTTATTCAAATGTTTCAAAAGGAATCCTCGCAAAATCGAAGGAGTTATATGAAGCTTTTAAAACTACTGATCAATCAGTCATATGCAAAGAGGTGAGATGCTTAGTTGTCATTTTAGTTTGGCATGCTTTCAGGATTAACCATCTCAAAATATAGCCTATTTTCACGTATTGCTCTATTAATTCTGCAACTATTTATGTTTTGTTTATACTTGAAAATATTCTTATCCCATTTCATAATGTATTGCTCTTATTCCAATCATAACATTATTAATAGCCGCCTTGAGTTTACATGAAATTGTTTGCTTAATTCCTTTTTAACACCCATTCTTAGAAAACGTCCTTTCAGATTTGATTCTCTCGCAGTTTTCGTGTTCTGCATCTTTTTTTTATTTTAAAATTTTCATAACTATGGAATTATTTATTTTAATAATTAAATGGATATACTGTTGCTCTTTTACAATACATTAATGCTATTTCTATTTGACTGACGGTTATTCAACCATTGAAATTCTATTTACTTTGTCAAGAATATTAGTTTGATCATGCTTTTCTATGAAATCACCAGATTTTGGAGAAGGGAGAGCTTCAAGTTGCTGGTAAGGAGAGGGAATCGCAACTATCGAGCCAGTTTAGGGATATTGCAACAATTGTGATGCAGAAGACCATAAATCCTGAAACACAACGTCCTTACACTATCAGCATGATTGAACGGCTGATGCATGAAATACATTTTGCCATTGATCCTCATAATAGTTCTAAGAAACAGGTACCATCCTTTTTGATAAGGTGTTTTCATTAATTTTTTTTAACGATGAATGATATTAATGAATAGTTTTTTGGATTGTACTCATATACTTTGTTGAACATGTTTTCCTGATAAATACCTTGAGAACATTAAATTTATTTTTTTGCCCTTATACCCTGTCATATTTCACAATTATTTCCATCTACATAAGAAAATTGAACCATAGGAGAGTCATTTAGTTTTACAGATTGCTCCTTTCACGTATAAGGCTATGGAAGGCAGATTTTGTAATACATTTAAATTAAATCGGGCCTTCATCTCTTGGATTCTTTATTATTGCAAGTTAATAGTATGCGGAAGCGGAACTTTAAACTGCACGGCTTGGATAGAATTACTGTCTAATTCTTGGCCTACACGTATTTAAGAGTAGATTTATTAGAAGATCCCTCCTTAATCTGTACTTACGTTATTAATTATTTGGAATTCATTTATTCAAAAAATATTTGTACTAAAAAAAGAAAAAAAAATTATTTGGAATTCATTGAGTTGTGATAATTGAAGTTGGCCAAATCTAACATAGTTCTGCATGAAGAATTTTGGTGTTTGATGTGGATTAATAGGATGCTGCTACTGCTGTTGAAGTCACGATATCTCTAAACTCCTATTATAATCCGTTTTGCTTGATTTTGTAGGCTTTGGAAGTTATTAAAGAGCTCCAGGAACATTTTCCAATAAAAAGAGCTCCTATGAGATTGCGGCTTATTGTACCAGAAAGACACCTTTCTACTCTAATGGAAAAGCTTGGTGGCTGGAATGCGAATGTAGTCTTAAAAGATGCATCAGGTGGAATGCCAACCGTTGTAAGTCTCAAACTTTGCAAATTAAACTGAGTGAAGATACAAAGGGTTGTACTCGCATGATTTTTTTAGATATTTTATGCCTTATGCTTTATTTTTTATTTTTGTTATAATGATTTCATATTCGCTAGTAAGCTGCGGGTTTGATTTAGACATCCTTAGAATTATGCTGTTCTTTAATGAATGGTGAAATTTCACTTTGCCATAAATATGTAAACCTGGATTCTAAGTGATGTTCAAAGAAGAGCCTTTGGAGTTGCGTCTACCGCATCGCTCTATTTCCTAGTTATTGTTATTTATTTTAGGATCTTTTTAAGGAGCATATATAATATATATTTTTAGTAGTAGGAGCATGTACAACAACAACATCAAGCCTTTGTCCCACTACATGGGGTCGGCTACATGAAACCTTTTTTTCCATTGTGTCCTGTTAAATGTCAAATTCTCATTTAAATCTAATAAAGAAAGATCATTTCTAATATTTTCTAAGTTCTAACCAAGCCTTTTTAGGTCTACCTCTACCTTTCTTAATATAAGTCAAATTTAATTTCTCTACTTTCATAACCGGGTCATTGGAAGGCCATCGTTTTATGTGATCAAACCATCTAAGGCGACTCTCTCTAATTTTATCTTCCACTGGAGCTACTCCAACCTTTTCCCATATATGCTCATTTCGTATCTTATCTCTAAGGGTAAATCCACTCATCTACCTGAGCATCCTCATCTCCGCAACACTTAACTTAGTATTATACTCTCATTTAATGGCCAACAGTCTGCACCATAAAGCATTGCAGGTCTCACCACCATCTTATAGAATTTTCCCTTAAGTTTGAGGGAGACTTTTCTATCACACAACAAGCCCCGATGCATTCCTCCATTTTAACTATCTAACTTGAATTCTACTGATAATATCCCCCATATATTTCACCATCACTTTGAACAATAGATCCAAAATATCTAAAACATGTACTTTTATTAATGACTTGATCTCTCAAAGTCAGAAACCCCCACTAGGTTTATTACTACTAAAGTTATACTCCATATATTCAGTTTTAGATTTAATGAAGTGAAAACCTTTAGACTCTAAGGTTCAAGTTTACCTTCAACTCTCTCTCTAGTCTTATCAACAAGAAGAATATCATCAGCAAAAAACATACACCAAGGTACACCCTCTTGCAAATGCCAAAAAATTTGAAATCGGGAAGGCAACTCTAATTTAAAACGAGCATGTAAGTTTTAAAATTTAAAATGGAGCAAACAAGCCAAATAAATTGACGCATTTTAAAGAATGCGCCAAATGATTTGACGCATTCATACTGCATGCCCGCAGTCAACCTTGTGAAACTGTAGTAATGCGCCATGCTAAAGGGCGTATTCAACAACCTTGTGAAACTATAGCAATGTGCCATACTAAATGGCGCATTCCATTGTATGCGCCAAACAACCCACTTTTGCTTAGCCCATTTCAACCCATTATACCTTGGCCACTCTTCTAAACTTTTATTTTTAATCTTTTATTTCAATAACATTAGTATTTAAACATCTGAAAAGAGGTGGGCAGAAAGATGAAGCTTCCAAAAATCTTGAGCCAAGTTTTCAATTCTTATAAAACATCTTTAGCAGTTCTTTTGCCATGCAGAAATAAGTTTTTTTTCTCTATTGCACCATTTTTTCTCAGTCCTTCCCATCTCTGAATTTGCTTTTTTTATTTTTTATTTTTTATTTTTCTATTTATGATCTTGTCTCAGGTCTGTGAAATAGACCCAGGACATTTTCGAGATTGCGATGCTTTGATTCGGGGCTTTCAAGGGAAGCTGGAAATACTAGCCGTCTCTGTATTTCTAGAAGGGGATTCCAATGTCTACCAGCAATATGACAATACAAAAGACGCTGAATCAAGTTCTGTCCAAGAGACTGAATCTGTAGTCGATCTGCGAGAGAAAATTATGAGCAATAATATCTCAACTGAAAACAAAAGCGGTGAAGAACAAGTCAAGCAGAACAAATGCAGCACTTGTGATACCATTGTGGGAGACGTTAAACAGTACAGAGAGCACTTTAAAAGTGACTGGCACAAACATAATTTGAGGAGGAGGACAAGACAGCTTCCTCCTTTAAGTGCAGAGGAATGCTTGGCTGAGATGGAATTGAATGAAGTGAATGTTGATCGTAAGGATTACTCTTTCTAAGGTGAGTTTGAACTGTGTTATTTAGCACAAGCATTGATTTCTTTATGTTAATACGAGAGCTAATATATTATGGTGATGTTTTAGGTTTCGTTTTGGACGGCTTTCTTACTACTTCTTAAAGCAGTTTTTTAGTACAAAAAGCTGTTTTAGAAAGTCGTCCCAAATGAAGCTTAAATGATAAACGCAGTTTCTGAAAGTTGGGATAATTGGTTTTGCAAGCTTCTTTATCTGTGATTTTGGTTTCTTTCAGCAGTCAGCACATTGAAATGTTGAATGGTTTGTAGTATTACTGATACGTTTTTGTTTCTCTCTTCTGTTTTTTTTTGTTTTTTTTGTTTTCTGATAACACATTTTGAATCGTTTTAAACTAATTTTAAATATTACGAATTCTGTTGCAGTACTGATTTCCATTGGAGCAAAATTGTAAAAAAATAAAAAATATATATAAAAAGGAGCTTCTAATGGATGTCAGCTTCAGCTGCCTATGTAAAATACTAAAATTCATCTTTATGTTAAGAGAGTTTAAATGCAAAGGATTTTTTAAATACTAGTATAAATGCACGTGTATATGATGCACGTGAATAAAAATTTAAAAATAAAAAATATATAACTAAAAAAAATTTATGATATGAGATATCATAGATATAAAATTCTATATCTATATGAAATATTAAATTTGTATACATATAGATGATTTATAATTGTATTATACATTAACTAAGATAAATTGAAATAAGATATTATATATATAATAACATTCAATTATGGTATAGAAAATATACAATAAGTGAATAAAAATTTACTTTGTATAAGCAAAAATAGTACCCAATACTTTTCTATCTCGAAGATCAACCTACAGAAATAAAATAAAATTTATCGTGAAATTCATATTGGAGCATAAATGCAAGAAACAATGTGAAATGGAACACCAAATCTTAAATGAAAGCCAAACTCTCATCTCTTACTTTGTACCATGTAAAAGGTTGCTTAGGGAACACATCTCTCAATTCAACGGCGGACCTAATTTTTTGTCTGGATTTTATGCGTTTTTAATGTGCTTTTGATGTATTTTTGAAAAAGAACGTTTAATACATCATTTTAACTGCATATTAGCTGCTATTTTGCTGCCTTTTTATTAAATATTTGAAAAGTGCAGTAAAAAACACAGCAAAATGATAGCAAATACTCAATGAGTAAGATATTTATTGCGTTTTTGCTGCCCTTCTTCGAAATGTCATCACCCAAAATTTTTGGAGTTCTTGATAAGTTGTGCAATGAACAATATTATTTTTTTACAGATTATTGCAAAAATATGATTTTATTGGTCATTTGTTGAGATCTCAATATCAACATTTCAATTCTAAACGAACTAAAATAAATTTTTTTGTTACACTTTTGATCTTAAATTATGATTTTATTTTTAATGTGATGATAATTACTAAATAATTATCTCTAATTTCATTTAAAAACAAATAAAAATCATATTACAGAAAGAAAAGTGAGACTAAAAATTTTGAAATAATTGAATTTTTTTTCTTCAAAATTTTAAGAAAGGTATAATAACCAAACTATTTAAAAATTATCATACTCATCCATACTGCTACCAAAAACAAGCACGTCACAATTGTGATATAATCGGAGCAGATTACTCATTTAAGTTTTAGGTATAAAAAAGCAGCAAAATTTTGAGGCTCAAAAAAAAAAAAAAAATTACAACTTCAAGAAATTTTATTTAGATAAGTCAACAAAAAGAATGTTAAGAATATTAAAATGCTGTATATCATTGACACGGACAGAGAAACCTAACCGCAAAATACAATGGTATATATATCAAATATGTAGCTAAATGTAATATATATATATATAATAATAAGAGATGGAATGGATTTTTTTTTTCCTTACAAGGAATTTGGCTACCCCACAATGGAACCAATCTCTTGTACAACCTGTAGTTGAAAAAAAAAAAAGAATACAAAATACAACGAAGAAGGAAACAAAAGAGTAAGGGCATCTCCAACCGAACGGCAAACACTTGTTTGCTGTTCTTGCTTTGCTCCAATCGATCTCCATTTTTGACGCCATTTGATCGCGGATGAACAGTGCGACGCCAATATTGGCGTTGCACTGTTCATCTGCGGCATTTTCTTCTCTCTACCGAACAGCTTGGGAAGAAAGGCGCCAACGAAAACGACCATTTTAGCGGCAAAATGGCGTTGGATTGGAGATGAAACACGGCATTTTTTTGATTTCCCTGCATTTTGGAGTGAAAAATGACATTTTCGGTTGGAGATGCCCTAAGAGTTGCAAACACGCGTCATACCCGAGAGCCCATTCTGATTTGACAATCTTAGGTAACCCATCACTTAACCCTCTTGCAAAGCCTGGTTGAGTTTAAATACAAACATTCACAGCCTCCATTGGACAAAGAGCAATATCAGCAATAAATTAAGCAAAAGTAGATCAAGCAAGATAAATCAAAGTATTATACTTCACAGCATACTCTGGTCCATCAATGTCGGAGTAGTATTTCTTAAAGAACTCATAAAAATCATACTTAAATGCACATTGAGCACTATAGCCAAGCAGAGTTGCTGCCCAACCTTGAAGAAACCTATCACACCCCGCTCTTTAAGAAGGTCACCAAAACCTGATGAGTTCATATGATGCTATCATTTGATTTCCTTAGAAAGCCTTTTTATCTAAAGGAAGCATTGATAATAATATCTTCCATATATAGAAGGAATATCTCGATTTATCTTCTTTAATATTCATTTGCAAGCACAAGTATGCTTTGATCAAACATCTCACAATGAGTAACCAACAAGTAGCAAGATAAATCAAAGTCTTATAGTTCATAGCATACTCAGGCCCAGCGATGTCGAAGTTGTATTTCTTAAAGAACAAATAAAAACTAAACTTAAATGCACCTTGAGCACTATAACTAAGCAAGGTTGATGCTTTGTTGGATTATTTAACTTTGGAAATGGCATGTTTATTTCATTAATTATGATTGCAAGATATATGGAATGAGAAAGCTTAAGGTCAATCAGAGCAAGACAGGTGGTATTATGATAGTTGGCTTACAAATTGGAACATAAGGGATAAAGATTGATTTACTAATAGGTCCCAACCCAAGGTGGATTGAGATTACCTTCATTTAATTAAATTTCTATTATCATATTGTATTAATATGTTGGAAGATCCTATTTTAGGAAGGCTTTATAGAAATTTAGCTTAAATCATACGAAACAAAATTTCAAGAATTTTAAATCCAACTGTTTTGATAAATCATCTTACCATCAACTTTTTTTCTGCTTTAGACCGACATTGGTAGTTTTAAATTTTTTTTTGTGTAATATTACCTAGGGGTGTCAATACCGGGTCACGTGTCGGGTTCGTGTCGAACCCGAACTGACCCGAAGGTAAACGGGTTGACCCGAACCCAACCCAGTTATGGATACGGGTCAATATTCAGGACTTGAACTCGATCCGAGTCGGGTTCGGATCAACCCGGAATGGCCCGTTGACCCGAGTTATTTGCATAAATAATAAAATTTAAAGGGTAACACACAAATTTAAACAGCAAAAGCTACACAGAAAAATTTATGGAAAAACAGCTGCACAGAAAAATTTAAACAGAAACTTGCATAAATAAAAATTTTATTTATGAATAAAAAATAATTTGCTAATTACAATATACAAATTATACAAAATATTAAACTTACAAAATTATACAAAATATTAAACTTACGGAAATTTCAAACCATGATTACAATTTACAGAAATTTCAAACCATAATTACAATTTACAAAAAATTCAACTCCTTGATGTCTTGTGCCTGCGGCCTGCCCTCATGGAGATATAAGCTAACTGCAAAAAATATAAACAATTAAATAGATATAATTTTAAATCCATGAATTAGTTTAAAGCTTGAGTTATTAGCTCAGATTAACCCTCCAAATAATTCATCATTCAATAAAATGTGAGTCAACAATATAATTTTTTACTGTTGCGGACTTGCGAATTGAGATATTGCCATCCAAGGCGGCAATTTGTATTTTATACTTAGTATCTATTTAATTAACCCTCCAAATGCCACCTGGTTGCAATAACTTTTTTCCCACAATTGACTTCACAATAAGTTTAGAAGGGTACTCATCATTGCTACTCAACTTTCAATCCTTTCGGAACCAACCAACAACAACACAGCCAACCAACATCCCTGGGCTTCTTGAAGCATCCAACAAACCATCAACACAGCCAACTATCAACACATCCAAACAGAAATAACATCAAACCAATCTCCCTTACAACACAGCCAACCAATCTCCCTGCCAACACAACCAAACATAAATAACAGAAAACCCAGCTACCAGCCAACCATCTAGAGAAACCACTAAACTTATTTCTGTTTTGTTATTTCTGTGCAGTTTCTACTATTTTTTCTGTTCAGCAAACTCAACACCCTAAACACAACAAACTCAACACCCTAAATATTTAAAAACAGCAAGAACACCAAGACAGCAACCAACCCAACAACACAGCCAACCATCAAACCAGTTTCTGCTGTTATTTATGTGCAGTTTCCACTATTTTTTCAGTTCAAGAAACCAATCTCCCTGCCAACACAGCCAAACAGAAATAACAGCAAACCCAGCTCCCCAGCCAACCATTCAGAGAAACCACTAAACTTATTTCTGTTCTATTATTTATGTGCAGTTTATACTATTTTTTTTGTTCAGTAAACTCAACACCCTAAACACAGCAAACTCAACACCCTAAATATTTAAAGACAGCAACAACACCAAGGTAGCAACCAACCCAGCATCCCAGCATCCCAGCAATAACACAACCAACCATCAAACCAATTTCTGCTGTTATTTCTGTACAGTTTCTACTATTTTTTCAGTTCAGAAAACCATCCCAGCAAACCAGAGTTTGAAGACACCTGGCTAGAAAAATCAAGACAACAACCAACCCAGCAACCCAGTAACAAAAGTAACCCATCTACCCAGCAACCAAAGCAGCAGAAACTGGTTTAATGGTTGGCTTCTTGAAGCACCCAGCAACACCATCCCTGTGCTTCTTGAAGCACCCAACAACACCCTAAACACAACAAACCCAGCAACAACATCCCTGGGCTTTTTGAAGCACCCAACAAAAACACAACAAACTCAACAACCAAAGTAAACATAGCAAACCCAGTAACCCAGCAACCAAAGTAACACAGCAAATAAATTAGACAGCAAATAAATGTCTTTAATCCATCCAAACAAATCATAAAAATAGTTCATTACATCAATTTAAAGAAAAATAAGATAGCAAATAAATTCACAAAAGTCATAAACTGATGTTCATCAAACAACTAAGCTGTCACCAACATCTCCTTCATTTTTGTTCACATCAAAATTTAGGATATCATTAGTTATTGCATCAATTTTGGGTCTTTACTGCTGCAATAATGCATGTATTAAAAAATAAATTAGCACAATGAGATCTTAAACAAAAAACTAAAAATGTAAGATGAATGAATAATCACCATGCTCTCCGTATAACCAGTCCTTAACACAAATTAGTGCCTCAACAATATCATGTTTTAATGCACTTCGGTATTGATAAAAAATTCTACCGCTATTACTGAATGCACTTTCAGATGCTACTGTTGTTATTGGAATGCATAGTACATCACGAGCCATTACTGAAAGACTAGGAAATCTATATTGGTTCCCTTGCCAAAACTTTAAAATGTCTAAATCGATACTGCTATCAAGCTTAGGTTCATCTAGGTAGATGTCCAATTCAGATTTCCTAGGTGTATAGATATCCTTCTGAAATAAAGCAAAATCCTATATTTTTTGGATGAGTATTAGAAAAAAAAATGGAAAATAAATGAAATAGTAAATATACGTACAAAGATCAACAAAGAACATGCAAAAATTTAGACTTAATCTTTGTAGGACACCCTTGTGCAACCTCATTCATTCTTGTACTTTCTTCTAATGAAGAATTCATTCTTGAATTGTAGTTAGCAAACAATGAAATTAACTTGAGTTTCAGCTTCCTAAGTTCGGAGTGGTAGTTGCCACCATACAATTTTTGACAACACCACTCAACAAATGCCATTTTATATCTCGGATCTAGAATCACTGCTACTGTCAAAATATCACTGAATTCTGACCAGTATTTTTCAAATTTTACAATCATTCCAGCAGGCATTTTCTTTAGGGATTGATGGCTACTTAACATAACATTTTTAAGTTCCGCATAAGCTGTTGAAATACAAAGGAAGTATAAATTTGTTGTAGGATATTTAGACCCAGAAAGAAATGAGACAAGTTATTTCATAGAAAAGTTCCAAAAACTTGCAAATCTCTTCAGCTTTTTCCCATTCAATAGTAATATATGGGACTTTCTTATTGCTTCTTAAAACAACTTTCTAATTAAAAAAAATTAATTTTTGAACTAAAAAACTGCTTTAAGAAGCAGTAAAAAAGTCGTCTCAAACGAAGTCTAAGTAAGAAATTTTTAGTATATCTATAAATAATTTAAGCACATGAAGTTTAAAATGTCTCTTGTTAGGTGTTGAAGTATTTTTTTTTTTTTAAATTACCAATTTAGGTTCCATGTATGTCATGCTTGAGAGAAAAATTTAGGGTAGTTCAATCATTTGATCAAAAATGAGAAAAATTGCATTAACCCTTTTTATTATTTTTCATAATGTATAAAGTAAGGTTATCATCTAAATTTTTTTAAAAATGTATGACTGAATAATGGGACACTTTGCATGTCATCCATAAAGAAACATGAGGGTATAAAAGTAATTATTCCAAATTAGTGTTTTTTTCCTTTCAAATTGTTCATCTAAATTGAAAGCATTACATGTAAAAATAGCTTTGTATTCTTTAAGAAAAAAAAATGAAAAAGGAAGGGGTATTTAAGTAATACTTTCAAAATGATATGGTTAGATAATAAAGTTGTCCTTACACACTTGATAATTTGCGTGAGATAATTTGGGCCCTCATAGTCATCATTAATTTTTCTGTCATATTATGGATCAACACCTAATACTTACCTATCTAAATAATCGGCTACTATAACACACACTACAAAGAACCTCTCCTCTATCAAAACATCTACAAATAACCACCAAAATTTTGTTACTTAATAATGTTTGGATGCCAATGCTATTCTTTGCTTAAATCATAATATCATATCCCCCACACAAATTGGCTCCTCGCTCTAATCTCTGCATTTTCATTGGCCATGCGACCCCGCACAATGGCTTCGTTTAGGACGACTTTTGTAGTGCTTTTTAAAGCAGCTTTTTAGCACACAAAATTTAATTTTTGTACTAAAAAGTTATTTTAAGAAGCAGTAAGAAAGCTGTCTCAAACGAAACCTTAATCTCCCCTACTCCTTCAGTCATCCATATCTCCTCACACAAAGGCTAGCTATTTGTTAAAATAATTGTAGAATTGACAGAGAAAAAGAAGTTTACATATTTCATTAAATTTTTAAAAAAGAGAATACCAACTTCAATATATTTATCTTAGTCCATCATATCCAAATGAGATTTTTTTTTTTTCATATCATACTTAAAAAAATTACAAATAATTATAAATATATATTTAAAACAATTTGCACATTATCGACACTTAAAAAAGAAGGGTTACACATAAAGCTCAAAATTATCATATTTACATACAACATAAATCTCGTAAGTACTAAAATTATTACTTTGTTTACTTCTCTCCCATGTGATTCTTTTTTTTTTTTTCATAAAATTAGTTATATGTGACATTTTTGATTTTATTTAAAATATTATCTGTTATATAAATACATATGGAAATTTTATTATTAAATGCATAAATAAGATAAATTAAATTATTAAATAAACTTAAAAAAATAGAATTTTACATATATACTATATAATTATGATTTATCTACCAATCTTATATTTAAACTTTAATATTTATTTATATGACCTCAAAATCTTCAAATTATATTAAATTTTTTATTAATATTATTTTTTTAATTAAAATTTTTTAATGTAATTAAGATACTAAAAAGTTACACAAATAAATATTAAAACTTAAATATTAGATATATTAAAATAGAAGGAAATAATGTTGAACCCAACCCGAAAAATATTGACCATCATGAGATGGCACTGTTCGCTTCTTTATCTTCCCCGGGAATCCAAAGTGTTTCTCCGAACGCTTATAATAATCGATAAGACCAAACTCCGCACGGAATAATTTCTCCCGTTGGAGGAGGTGATCACGATGAAGATTACTGTCATGACTGCGGACGAGCAATTCATCACTCTCGACGTCGACCAAGATGAGTCAGTAAGAATGTGCAGGTACCCTAATTTTTTGGTCATGTCAATCTTCATGATGCTGACAATGGTTGAATCCATATGGCCTGTAGGTTGAGAATGTGAAGGCACTTCTTGAGGTGGAGGTGGGCTGTTAGAGAAATCCTTGTCTCATGGGAAAGTTTTAATTTTTTGTTATACTTTTGGAGAATTTTGAGTTATTTGGAAAATTTGATTGCAGACCAGTGTCACTCTCCATCAGCAGCAGCTCTATTTCAATGGAAAGGAGATTCGTAACTCGGATCGCTTAGGTTCTGTTGGTGTTAGAGAAGGAGATCTTATTATGATGCTTTTGCCGAATGCCGGGTATCCCTATTCCTCTTTTGGTTATCCTCACATTCTTCTCAAATTACTTACTGTTTGATAGCTTGCAATCCAATAAATCATTTAGCCATAGCATGATTCCTATGTTGAAAAATTGCATATACAATAACTTTTTGTTTCACAGACAGGTTGTTGTTGGGATTTCTTTTGCTGGAAAGAAAGGAATCTGGGAAATTTTTTATTATGTTCCATTTGAGCCAAAAGATTGACCAAAATCTGTTTGTTTGTTTGTTTGTTTTTTTTGGTGAAGAAAAGGTATGAAATAAAATCAGGAGTATTGAATGCTGAATGCATAGATCTTCAGAAAAGATAATGATCACTCAGACCTTTGTATATCCCTCATATTTCTCTATCGTTTGACCTCTTCTCTTGCAGCCATTAACATGGTTTCCATGGACTCAAATTCATAAACTCTTTTCATCTAATGCATAAACTTGTTTTGAAGTTTGTGTTATTTTCAATCTCATGATGCAATCTTGTGAATGCTTCTTTTTCATTTACTATGTTCTTTTAACCTTCAATTTCAAAATTTAATTCTATTTCACAATCATGCTATGATATACAGTTTTTCATTTTTTTTCAATTTTCTTTCACTCCTGAAATGAAACAATATTCAACCTTGACACATGTGCATCTTTTTCCTATGAGTTGTTATCCAGAAAGGGGAGTAATTTTTTGCGGTGGACTGTCCTTATATTGTACTCTTTTATCATCCATATCTTTTTTTTTTGGGGAAAATTGAGGGCAGAGCCTAAATTCCATTAAAGAAAAACTAGTTACATGTGTAGAAAATACAAAATTGTGGGAGAGAGCTACATGAAGTAGCTAGAGGGAGATTACCAAGCAGGTGCAAAAAATACACATGTCAAAAAGAAAATATGCAAAAAAAAAAATCAAGCTGATCAGGTAAAGCCCACAGAAAAAAAGGCTCAGAAGAAAAAGTAAAGCAGCCAAGAACAGCCCCAACAAATGTCGTGGGGGACAAAAATAAAACAGGCTCAACAAAGTTAGATATACACCCTCGGAAGCAAAAAATCCCCCGGTTGCTAGAGATGCCATCAAATAAGAATTTGTTGCAAGAATCACCATCCAGGGGGAGAGGATGCAACCTGAACATCATCACCCCCATTCAAAAAGAAAAACCCAGGAAAAAACCGGCATAAGGCATACATACACAATAGCAGAATAGGGCCAACATAACCACGCCCATAAATCGCAAAAGACCACACCGAGAGAAACTACATAAGAGCTTTGAATTCCTTCCCATTCTTCCATCTATGTAACTTAATTGCCACAACCTTTTTAATCAATAATTGAATAGTCGAAGAGCCTTTAAAACAATTGGTGAATTTCCTATCATTCCTCTCCCTGCAGTTATAGTAAACAGTGGCCCATAAAACCAACAAGTAAAATGCCAATCTGCCAGATCTCGAGCTGCTCCAACCAGAGAAAAAATCACCAATCTGGCTGAGATTAGGTCTCCATAGAAATATGTTGAGAGAGGGTAGCAGACTAGTAATGGTACTAAAAGTGTAATCACACTCAAAGAAGAGGTGATAAATACTTTCAAGACAAGAGTGACAAACAACACAACTGGATTCCATGGCAATGTTTCTTTTATGCAATTCATTTGCAATTTTCAACCCTCCAGCAAAACAAAGCCAGGCATAAGAAGAGAATCTTAATGCTTAGTGTTTATGCCATATAAAATTACACCAAGAGACCTCTCTATCATATTTGTAAAAATCTTGAATAAATTTCTCAAACTTGGGCTTACCCTCAGATCCCCAAAATAAATAGCTGCTATCACCATCACATATAATAGGGATAGAGGCAATAAGATTTTGAATTTCAGCAGGGCAGGTAGCTGATAGCCTATGGTCTACCAAGTCAAAGAGCATATCCAGGGGAGCATTTTCTGGAAAGAGCCTAGTTAGAGCTTGATGATGTTGGAGCTCTTGTATACAAAGCCCAGTTCACCAGTGATCCCACTTTAAACTAATGGGGGAATTATCAGTAACTTTGAAAAATCAAATTAGGCTTAGCTCTAACAGCAAAGATGCATATGCTTTTCCACATAGTCGAGGAAAATGTGGGGGGAATTTTCCAAGGAGAACAATAATTGGAGAAAAACCAAGTCGAAAGAGGGGATGCCCAATTGTAGATTCTAATGATTAAAGAGCAGTCAAAAGCATATCAAATAGCTTGAAAGGAAGGCAGAACCAAACCTCCCTTATTCTTGGGTTTACACGTGTTAGCCCAGGAGACTAGATGAAGTTTTCTAGCCTTGATATCGCCAAAGAAAAGGAACTTAATTGAGAGTTTAGCAATCTTCATTATCTTGGTTTTTAGTATAAATTTCATTTTTTTCATATAAATCTCATTTTTTTCATATGCATTCTCAAAAATTCATTTGAGATGGTTCAACTTTATTGGCTTCTTAATGACATTTCTTTTGTTTCATTAATTTTTGGTTGATTATTCCAAGAAAATTCTTTCCAAACAGAGCTGCACCAACATTCAAATTAATGAAACTAACATATTAGATTCTTTTTCGTGTGTTCCCAATCAATATTTTTCAACTTATTATTTTGCATATCTTCTGCAACAGTTCCTGCAACAATTCCCCCATGGAAGATGCATGCCATGCACCTTGAGCTTCAAGGCTATTGTTATTTGGTTTTACCTTCTTTTCATTGTGTTAAATCCATTTATTCAAAATTGTTGCCAATGGTATTCAATCTACTCAAGGGTTCTCCTTTATGCTTTCACTGTGCTCATGAAGATCTACTTTGATGTTTTTTCACCCAAGATCACTTGTTACTCAGTATGTTTTCTGTTTCAATAGTATGAGTTTTGGAATTTTGAATCACCATCATTTTACTGCATTTGAAGTTTTTTTTTTTTTTCACCACATCAACAAAAGGTCCATATCGAAGTTTCAATGTCTTCCGATCATATATCTATTACCACTCCTTAGCACTTGTGAATAACAATTTGTGCCATATCTTACTAACTCTATCAGACCAACCATAAAAGGATGTGTTTAGGAGAATCTTTCTTAGTTGTGAAGTGGGTTCTATTTCTTTCTTTCAAATCTAAATTGAGAGGGTATGTTTTGATTTTGTTTCGCCCTCCTTGCTCTGATTCAGAGATTTATATTAATTTCTCTTGAAGTGTGGGATTGAAGATGGAGCTCAATGAAAACTCAAGGTGTACTTTTTTCTTGTTTGTTAGATGTACTATTTTCTTGTTTGTTAGAAATATTATTCTTGCCCTCTGTTAGAGACCCTAACCCCTTGGGCTTGGTGGGAATATTCTAAAAGTTGAAGTCATAAGCAAAAGTGCTATTATAGCTGTGAATGCCACATCTACCTTCATTGTTTTTTAATTTAGGAAAAATTAAGTTCATTTGCCTATTTTTTTTAATCTTTGAACTCTACAACCTATTATTCTTCCAAGATTGGATATATTTAAGCTCATGGTGTGCAATACGTAGTGTTTCCTCTCACTTCCTTATTTTAGAGTGATGGTGCTCATAGAGAGAGATAAATAGATAGAGAGGTGACCTCACACACTCCTCTCTCCTCTTCAATGAAGCTTATTATGTGCTTTTTTAGTCCTTTTTAGTTCCATCTTTCCCCTTCTCTCTATATAAATTTATACACACGCTTGATAGCAATGATAATGTTGTTGAGAGTCCATATTGCCTCATCCTTTGCATCTGATCCTTTGATGATAGACTATTATAACAAATTAAATGCAAAGGTTTTGATGGTGGAAACAAAACATATGAGTAGATAGAGAAAGAAAAGTTGTTGGGAGGAAGACAAGGGACCAATGTTAGATTGAAGATTGTAGAAGTTGGTACTTAACCTAAAAGGGTAAAGGAAGGAACACAACTTTTTTTCAAAAGAGCATATTTGTTACATGATATCGCCAAAATTTGAAAGACATACCATTTCTTAAGGATCTAATATATTAAACTAAATATTTCTTGAGACGATTAGCACATCCTGAGACGACACATGACACTATTGCCCTTGACAATTTTAATAAATTCAACTAAGAAATAAACATAAATATTGCATAATTACATATAAAAAAAAATAAAAATAAACTATGACATGAATGATAACAATAATCTATGATGGTACTCCATTTACTCTTAAAGGGTAAGTTTGGATACTTCTAGAGGAAAAATGGATGGACCTTTGCTGTAGTGCCGAGTTAGTGAAATTTTCCTATATGAGAAATGTCTCATGAGGGGAAAGAGACAAGTGAAATCCATCATAGGAAGAAAAGATAAAGGGATCACCATTTTGTGGAGAAAACTTACATAGAATTTGTAGTATATTAGTAGACCATTCTCGTCATAAATCCTCTTAAAATTCTCAACTACCTTTGAAAGTTGCTCAAATATGTTGACTTTTTTATACAAATTATATGATTTATCTATAGCCTTATTAAAGCAAAATAAATAGTTAGCTTGATCAATTAGATGATTGACCAAACCTATCAATTAAACTTAATAATATTTTTTCTTTTACTTTTATTTTTCATTATGGCTCATGGATTGAGATAGGTTGCTATTGAGTCAGTCAAGTGTTTGGGTTGATATAATTGGATTAATTTGATCGAGATGACTTTGATTATATTAGTGTTTCATGCTTGTTAATTTTGTTTGAGTGAATTAATTTATGAATTTATGAAGGGAATTGGTTAATTTGAATGTTGGAGGATTATAGGTACATGTATTTATGAAATTAAGAAATATTTTTCTAAGAATTTAGAAAAGGGTTTGGACTAGTTGTGTGGTATGGAAATATATGAAATTTAGTTTTTGTATAAGATTGTTTTGCTCACATTTAGGAATATTTTTAATCCAAGTAGACCGTAAACCCTTTTAGCTTAATGTTCTTGAAGGAAGCAGATTGATTGCTTGGATGATTTACTCATAACTACACCATTTGTGTCATTCTTTCATGACGTATGGAGTACCATTTGAAAGTTCTTAGGAACTTCTCCTATGCTCTCTTGCTAATGCTTTGTCGTTGTTTCTTCTTGACAACTTTTTGGTTTTGCTGGATTGCTTGCACTTGAATTGTACTTGCTTATGGTTAGCAAAAGCAAAGTATTCTATGCTTGTAACAAAGGCTCTTTAATGTGCGTGGGATTTTTTCTGATGGATACAATATGTGATGCTCCAGAATCTAAATTGAGAAAATTATTCTTTTAATCTTTTAATAAATAATAATCAGAGCTATCTAATATCATCTATTAGTAATAAATGATAAAATATATTCTATAATTCAAAATATTATTGTACACATAAGTATTCATTCCTAAAAATCATATACAATACTCATGATCTATACAATTATATCATAACTATTCTATCATAAGTACAAAAAAAAAAAAACAAAAATAAATAGAATATGAAAAATCCTGACTAGTGCTTTGACCTGAAAACATTTTACCACATATAATGAACTTAAAAAGCCTAGCAGGTCATCAAAACTTATAATTGAATTCAAAGCACAACAAAAGAGTAATATGCATGTCAACAGTCAAATCATAGCAGTTGTTGTATTCATATGATCATTGAATCAGAGCATAAATAGTAAAATTCACATGCAGTGATAGTAGAATCTATAACCCTTAAAACACAACAGTACGAAAGCCAATAAAGCAGTAAATCAGTACGAGTGTCAAATATATAAAGCAATTGTCGTATTCGTAATACCAATCAGTAAAGAAATCGGATAAAGTATCAAATCAAAACATCAGTAAAGACTATTAAAATCAAATCAATGTAGTAAACTCATAGAGTAATATACACATGCTATCCAATTATTCTATATCAATGTTAAATCAGTATTTTACATGTTTAGTACGTTACATGCTTATTGTATCGTGAATCAGTAGTATCAAATAATATCAATATCTATATCAATAATAATAACAATCCAGTGATAGGAGTAGTATAATAATGTAATAACTGTAAATCCGTGCAGTAACAATAAATCCGTACAATAATAAGAATAATGCTTCAAAAATATGCATTTCAGTAGTCAAACTCAACTAGTAAGAAGTCTTGACTATCACGATATTTTTCAGTATTGTATCAGTGTCAGTAAACCGTTGGCTTAGTAAATATGGTTGTCACTCTTTGTCCGTCTGCATAATAATCTCCTTATAACTCCCAATCAGTATCATGTGAATCAGTAGAGGATAACATCAAATTATAGTATTTAAAGGAAAGCCCGTTGGCCCACCATCCTGTACAATTCAATCAATCTTCAACCAACGGGTCAATCAGTCTTTATGTCTTTTACACATACAGTAGTATTACAATACTATAACAGTAATTTTAATCATATATCAACATTCATTTTCAATGTATTGCAACAAATAAAACATAATTGAGCTTAATTTAGAAAATGTCAAAAATGTCATAATGATAGACAACAAAGAATCTTATTAGACAAAAATGCACATTTTCAGAAAATTATCAAAATAACAGAAATTGTATAAGATATTTTAAAATTTTTATTGTACTAAACTATTTTTAGACGTCAAAATAAATTTCTAGGTAGACAAAAATCGCTGTATTTTCAAAATTACATGGTGAAAATTCTTAAATAAATACTCAAAATATTCATAATCATGATTTCTATAACATACAAAAAATTATGCAGTGAAAGTTTTGCCAATACAAAGTTGTTCACGTTTTTTGGTAACGGAAACACAAATTTGATAAAAAAATATCAAAAACACAAAATCTTTGAAATAAAAAATAAGGTAAAGGGCAAGACGAGAAATTTTCTCAACAGGCTCAAAGGACAAAAATCGATTCACGATCTCCAAATCTCGATTTCCTTTTTCTCTCTCCTAGCTTTTTCTCTCAATTTCTCTCAAACGCTTTTTGTTGCCAAGATGTGAAGGGAAAAAGGTTTTACTCTTAGAGACAGGATACAAAACGAGCATATACATAAAAAGGTTGGAGTAGCTCCAGTGGAAGATAAGATTAAAGAGAGTCACCTTAGATGGTTTGATCATATAAAATGACGGCCTTTAGATGACCCGGTTAGGAAAGTAGATGTATTAGATTTGATTTATATTAAGAAAGGTAGAGATAGACCTAAAAAGACTTGATTATAAAATATTTGATATGACCTTTCTTTATTAGTTTTTAGATGAGAATTTAACTCTAAACAAGACCCAATGGAGAGAAAGGATTTATGTAGCCGACCCCACATAGTGGGATAAATGCATGTTGTTGTAATAGGAAAATGTTGTACATGCATGCTTGAGTTCCTATTTTTTCGCACTTGGCTACATGAAAACGAGTGGATGCATGCCACACCAGTGTAGGCTATTCAGGTCACACTACTTGTATGGTAGCAGGACCCTCAATAACAAGATCGGAGTGGAAAGAGGGGAGCATGTGCCTCCCTGCTGCTCACCCCTTCTACCTTTGCATATGATGTATGATGCCATGAGTTGCAACATGACTATGGTTGCACTGTATCACTTATTTAGTCAATGTTGATGTGCTAGAGAAAAAAGCTTTCTATCTCTACCTTTATCCATCATTGTTATGATGATATTTGGATTTTTTTAAAATGTTGGTTTAACCCTCAACTTGTTGATTTTATTGATAAGTGGTTTTTCTTTTTTTGTTTTATCAGCAAGTTCTTGCAGTTCCTCCATTTCTTGTCAAGCAAATTTCAGATGGAATATACTTTAAATTTATAATGATCATCATCAGCTACATTATCACAGGCCATCTTCCAATGAACTCAGAATAAATCCAGATGGTTCTGCTTCAGATCCTGCTTCATTCCAGCGACGCATTCAGCGTGACTCCGAGTTGATGGGCCAATTACTGCAGGTGGGCAATATTTACTGAGAAGTATCTTTACCTTAAGAAGACAACCATTCTTGCAAGAGAGCCTACCTGGTTTCTAAACCTCTACCTTGTGCTTCTTCTATTAAAATTTATGTTTCCGCAATGATTGTGAAGAGTTTTAAAGATTCTTTCAATAGAATTAAAATATTACTATTGGCAAGAATTGATGTGAAACGGTGCAAGAATTGCTTGTAGGAAATTAATAACTTGTGAACTTTGCGTAGCTAGTTAAAAAACAAATGCGTTCCAAGATAGATCGTAAGAAAATCTCCACGGAAGAACTAAGTAATGTCAATTGATTACAATTAAAAGCAACATGAGACTAGCAAAATCATTTAAACAAATAAATAATAAATCAAATGGCTCTTAACAAAATCCATGGTTTAAGATCTAGATCATTCACCTGGGAGTCCCTCACATGCACTCTTGATGTTGCTCGGCTTAGCGGAAGAGGATTGCACACAAACTTAAGGATGTCACTAATAAACAAGTGTTGCCGAGGGGACTAGTCTTCGGGGAAGGAGCCAGAGTTGGAGGCGCGGGTGGTCGTCCGATGAGAACCCACGGTGTTCGGGGTTATTGGAGTTCGATCGTCTTGGCGAGGCAGTAGAGAATTCATTTGACGTATCTTTCCACCGTTTCGTCGTATTCCCAATAGGGTTCGTAGAAAGGAGAGAGAAGAATGTCAATCTCTCCTTGGACGTTGTAAGCAAAGCCATGATCAACTTTCGGATTGGCCATGCATGACCATGCAAGGATTTAATTAAGGAGTAATTAAAAATATGAAATTTAAATAAAATAGGTAAGTTTCCTATCATAGATTTAGACAATAGGAGACTATTTGAATTCAAAATTTTAATTGAATTCACATTAAGAAACTTTCCATATTGACCAAATTTATTTTAGGAAAGTGAGTAAATGGCTATTTGAAATTTGAATTTCAAATTTGAGAGCTTGGGAGGAGGGCTGGTGGCTAGATGAGGGGAGAGGGGAGGACGGGGAAGGGAGGCCGGCGATCGGGTGGGTGGTAGACGGCGGCTTGGGTGGCCCAAGGAGGTCTGCGGCAAGGTGAGGGCTCGGGTTAGAAGAAAAATACAAAGAAAGGCTTTGGGGGATGAGGCCGACGGGTGGGAAGTTTAGGGGAGGGGATTCGACACAAGAAAATAAAAGAAAAGAAAAATTGAAGAACCGCGAACCTTGGAATTCACCAAGATTGACGGATATTGCTTTTACCCTCATCGGGCCTCTCCTCTCATGAACTCACTAAGAGATAAAACAAGTAGCATCAAAATTTTCATTAACAATTCATCATCATTACAATGCATGAGACATCCTTTAAATAAGCCAAGATAAGACAAAGCTAGAAAGACACAAATGCCCTCAGGGATATACAAGCGACTCAATACCCACAGGGGCAAACTAGGAAAATAAAATGCAAGAATAAATAAAATAGAAATAAATCAGAAATAAGGCTCTGGATCGTAGCCGTCGACCTGCGTCTCCGACGATGGTACACGTGGCGAAATCTGAGGTCCTCATCAAGAATATTTAGCGATAAAAATATCTGTTAAGTCTTGTTAACTAGTATACAGTTTTTTTGGATTCAATATGTTTTTTCTTAGTGGCTGCTTACATTTAGCCCTTTTGTAAATGAAAAAAAAAAAAAAAAAAAATTTTTAAAAAAAAAAAAAAAAAACTTTGTTGGTGCCTATTTTTGCCTAGCACATACATTCTACTGATGACAACTTTTTTGCACCATCTGCTAATATTGAATGTCCAGGTGTATATATCTAATCAGAGCACAAAATTACTTGTCTGATTGAATGCTAATAATGTAAAAATTAACAACTTGTTAGCAATAGGAGCTGAAGATTTCTACGTTCAGCCTTCTATTGCTTCATATTTTCAGGCGCCTCCATTAAATTTAATCCAAGGTGATTTATATGATGATAAAGGATTTCAGTTGCTGTTTTTCTTTGTGCTGGCCTTATACTTCTTCAATTACTGAATGTGCTATTTTCCTATGATTAACTTCCACATTGTAACATATGACATTCTCAAAATGTTTCAAATAGGGTTTGTCCTTTTTTTTATTGAAAGATGGTTCATCCCATGGTAAATATTGCAATTAAATAAATGATATATTGATAGAAGGGTCTTCAAGATAGGGCCCTAGACAAAGGAAATCAAGATAGGCCGTAGATAAGAGAGTGACATTGAACAAGGGAGCTGATGTAGAACGGGTATGAGGGTGGGGGAGATTTGGAATTCAAATTAATTAATTCCCATAATGGGATATCCAATTAGAGAATTAATTAATGGAGGGGAATTAATTGGAGAGGGAATATGGAAAGGGGAGGGGACAATTGTAAGTGGAGGTCATTAATTGGGATTTGATTTAAAGACTTTCCTAAAATAGATCAATCTATTTTAGGAATTTATTCAAAATTCAAAATTGAATTGAATAAGTAATATCAAAGCTTCCTAAATGAGGGTGTATGGAAAAGGAAAGTAGGCTTCAATCAAGAGCAAGAGGGGGGGGAAAAGGCGGCAGATAGGAAGGGGGGCCGGCGATTATAATGAGAGTTTGGAGTTGATTTGGGAGGAATTAAACACCTTCCAAATAAGATAACTCCTCATAAGGCAAAAGGCTTCAATCAAATTTAATTTAAATTTGATTAGGATTTGATTAGGGGATCAATTAGGAAACTTGCCATAAATAGATTTAATAATTTAGGAAAGATTTTAAATTTCAAATTAGGTGGATTTGAATTCAAAATTTGTCATAATTTTGTCAATCTAGAATATGTAATGGAACTCAAGAAGGGAAAGGAGGCTAGGGAGAGGAGGAGAGATTTTGAATTCCTTCCAAAAAGAGCCACTTGGATTTGGAAACAAATCCCAATGGGATCCAATGAGGCCGGCGGCAATAGGGAAAGGTGGTGTGGTTTAAAGAATCAATCAAAGCTTTCTTAAATTAATAAATTAACTTTGGGAAGAGATATTTCATCCCAAGTTAATTTAAAATTCAAAAGGCTATGATTTGGAAAGTTTCCAAAATTAGGATCTTTAATTTAGGCAGTAATTTCAAATTCAAATAGATTTGAATTGCTCTTAATTGTATTACCTAAATTATGAAAGCTAATTTAGGAAATGTTTAATGGCAAGGGGGTTGGGAGGGAAACCAAAGAAGGGGCTGGAGGTATAGTGGCTTGGCCGTGAGTGGTGGTGGAGCTAAGGCCGGTTTGGTGGAAGTAGGGAGATGATGAAGATGGCGACTAGGAACAACAAGGAACAAAAACAAAGAAACAAAAGATAAAATATAAAACCGCGAGCCTTGGACTCTTCCGAAGACTAACGGGTGATACGTTGACCTTCTCCAAGGGACTTCAAGTCACGAGCCTGGACCCATCCTGCGGCTGGTGAAAATTCCGATTCTTTCCCATAGGAATCTCACTAATGTCCTCCCAAAAGAATACAAGTGCAGAACACAAATTTTTATTATAATTCCATCATACCTAATACAAGAGAAGGGGCCTCTATATATAGGCTTTAAAAGAAACTAAAAGACAAATTTGCCCCTTGAGCTTACATAAGACAAGACTCTTAAATAAAAAGGGTAAAAAAGAAAAAAAATGCAAAATTAAATCAAAATACAATTAATAAACTAAAATAAAACGGAGTGATCTTGGTCGTCGATCTTCGACCCTTTGAATATCGTTCACCATCGGATGTCCACAGCAGGAGCCCTTTGTGATGAGCTATTTATTTTAATGGAAGATGAATGAGTTCCATAAAATGAAGGGGGAAAGAAGATTGATTTGTTAGTGTCGCAGATTAAGTATCCTAACAACCTCACTATTTTGGCTAAGTGTATAACAGATTTTTGAAGAATTGATGCCAGATTTTGCTATTGATTTCAGTAGAGGCAGCACATCTTTAACTGCTATTGTATTTTTATTTGCTTAGAGTTTTTTATGAGAACTGTTGCTTATTTTTTAAAAAATTAGCTCAGAGCTTTCTTGCATTTTAACTGCTAGGAATTTTTTGAAATATGCAGACCCATCGTATTGTTGTATGTACTTATGCTTATGTTTTCCGATTATTTGGTAAATTTCATATGACCACTTATCATAAAGACCTACTAGACTTGTTAGTTTGATGGTGCATAGAAGCATAGGTAGTTGTGCTCTATCTGCAATTTTCTGTCCATTTATCAGACTACTTATATGAAGATACTACTGTCTCTGCAGGAAATTTTAAGGAAGGATTCTTTTTTCAACTTGCTAAGAATATTTGTAAACCTTATGAACATGCTTACAAATAAAACAGCACTATAAATGCTTCAATAAAGCTTAATTCATATGCAGAATCCTGAATTATGAATTAAATCATATATATGTTTGCTTGTTTTTCTTTCTTTATATCTACAAGTAACCAATATCTTTGATGCTAAGAAAACCCTTGTTTATTCTTGATTATCTTTCGTGCAGGCATCTTTATTGTTAGCATGATCAATACTTAAATTTTTCACGTCTGAATTTAATGAATAGCTCTCCAAACAAGATCTGTGAAAAGAATTGAGTGAATTTCTTGCATTTCTTTTTGCGTTGATTACTATATAGTTGCAATTCAGCCATAGTTGCTGTATGCTAACAATGCATCCAATCTGCATGACATGCGTATCGTGATTTTATGTTGCTTTATAATTCATTTATACTGTCATAGTTGGCACATGTTGTTTATGTATCCAATCTTTATGACATGTGTATCATGATTTTATGTTGTTTTATAATTCATGTCTATTAATTGTCAAAAACATTTTTTTTATCGCTTATTTGCAGCTTTTAAATATTGATTTTTTGTGTCCTAGGAAGCATTTGTGTTAAAATATCCGGATTTGTATGCTTATATAAGCAGAACTTAGGCATAGCATTGGCCATTGATATAATTTAGAGGGGCTGAAGACTTTGTGGAAGTGCTTGCATAATCAAAGATGACGTTAATAATTAAGTTTAACACTAACGAATTTTAAGAATCATTTTGGTTTAACAAGATTTGTCTGATCATCAGGTAATGGTTAATCAAAATAAATTATTTTTAACATTAAATTTTGGTTGGTGAAGTTATCAAGATGCATATATACAGGTTCTCTTTTGTTCTAAAAATTGCAAGGAAGTAAAAAGCCTGATGGAATTGATTAGCGTAACTTTTTTCTTGAAAATAATTCTTTTGCAAATAAATGATCTAATTTATTTTGTTTGATAAAGCATCTTTCTATTATTCTGGGAAAAATTACTTTCCTTGTTTATTTATGTGTTGTTCTAAAAGGTTTAATCATGTCAACTTGCAGAATGATCCAGAACTTGCTCAAGCTATACAAGGAAGTGACCTTGATAATCTGCAAAGAATATTAAGAGAGCGTCATCAGCAAAAATTGCTGCTACGGAATAAACAAGAAGAAGAGCTTGTAAGCAGATTCACTTGTCGGATTTGAAAGAGAATAAGATTTGTTAAGCTATACAAATTCTTACTTTTTTTTTTCGGGTTCAGGAAGACTTGATAAACTCTGATTTATGGATCCTTTCTTTATTAAATACTCGGTTCTGCTAATTCTTTTGGTTTTGCACCATTCATTATTTGCTACGCGTTTGCATTCATGTAGTGGAGATTTGCATCTTTCTGTAAGATTGGAGTTTATTGTTTTGCTTGTGCATTAGACTACTTGTAGTTATCTCTTTTTTCCACTTCTTAATCGAATGTGCATTGAAGGTAATTGTTTTGAGATCTTTGTAGTCTTGGTGTTACCTAACTATCTCCTGTTATATTTTCAAATTTGCAGCTCGCTAATATGACTGTTTTTGCTCACTTCATTATTAGGCTCTGATGTATGCTGATCCTTTTGATGTTGAGTCACAAAGAAAAATTGAGGCAGCTATACGTCAGGTTAGTTTCCTCTACTACTTTTTATTTTTTTGGTAGCCAGCATCATCTTTATCAAATTGATTTCATAAGCAACTCTTTTACTAGCAGTTTGACCATCTTCTACAAAACCTTCATTGTCCGTCTTTCCTTTTGATGAAACCTTAATAAATTTCTAACTTCATTCTAATGTTTTTTGCTGGTTTATAGTAATGCCTTTCAAAAATTAGTATTGCATCAAATGTAGTTATGTTTGCCTTATTGGTTAAAGTGCCTTTGCAATTGGAGTGCAGTAATTCTCTACAATATTTTTCCTTGCAAGGTTTTATAATCAAATTTACACCTTCTGGAGACACAATCTTCTTGTTCATGGCTTTGCAGACATGAACACTTCTTTCTTTAATTCCTTTCCCAGTGGAGTTTAGGTTATTTCTTAATACCATGATTACTTTGCTGAGGAATTTGGATTGCGTACTTGATGAGGTGGTGCCATTATCTGGCAGCTTGCGGCCCCCTTGTTGTGTAGCCTCCCTATTATTATTAGTCTCAAATATTGGTTTTACATTTTGCTCGCTGCTCAGGCAGTATGATGGACAGGTTAGGTAGGCTTATCATTGTGTTTGATAGGTTGAGTGTCATAGCATGTTGGGTAGCCCATTGATTTATTATCTGAACCTTTTTTCACAAGCTTATCATTGCAAAAGAGTGGCCAGTGGCCACCAATCTTCTCCTCTTGTCCATTTTGATGTGAGTAAGCATAGGGAGAGAGAGATTCGAGAGAGAGGGGCGGCTAGAGAGGAGAGGGGAAGAAGGGGGCGGCGGGAAGATGAGGGATGGGGAATTGGTTTCCGAAATCAATTACTTGTTTTAGGAAATAATTTGAGGAAATATGGGAATTGAAAATTTTCGGTCAAGTGGAGGGTGGGAGAAAATAGAATTGTTTCCAAGTGGGATTAGAGGATTAGGAAATAAATCCTAATTGACTCCAATAGGGGGTCGGTGGCAATATGGGTTAGGGAAGCAATTATTTGGAGGGGGGTTAAGGCTTCTAAATTGGGTCCTAAGATTCGGAAATATTTCTCTTAAGATCCACTTGAATTTAAAATTCAAAATAGGCCTTAAATAAAAACTGTCCTAAAATAGAATAGTTAATTTAAGAAAGATTTTGAAATCAAATTCAGATTTTTGAATTTCAAGAATAACCTTATTAATCTCCGGCCCAATTAGGAAACACAAGGGAAGAGAGGAGTGGGGAAGGGGCTTGACCGGCGGTGAGGGAGTTGGGACGGGCGGCAATGGTGGGTCAGGTATGGGGGATTTGGCCGAGGGGTTGAGAAGGACGGAAGTGGGCTCGGGTGAGTGGGGAATCCGATGGCTTAGGGAAGGGGGAAGGGGGAAGAGGTAGGGGATAGAACCACGAACCCAACTTATCAAGGTTGGTGGGTATTGCGCTAATCTCCCTCTCCTATGGATCTCTCTCCATTAGAACTCTCAAGCTCTCACAATAACTCATGCAAGAAGAAAATTTGTAATTAATCATTCATCTAGAAAATAGAACAAAGGGCTATAAATAGCCTATTACAAGAGACTCATGAAAATAAAAGACACAATTGCCCTCTGGGCTTACATACGACATCACCCACTAAAAATGTATAACTGAAAAACAAATACACTACTCTGAAAATAGAAAAATACGTAAATAAGAAAATAACTCAAAAGTACAATGACTCGATCGTGGCCGTAGATCGGCGGCCACGCCTCTGATAAACCTTCCACGAGTGATGTCCCAATCATGACCATTTTTCCTCTCTGCAATCCCATTTTTTTGTGGGATGTGAACACATGAGGACTCATGGATGATCCCTTCACTCTGGAAGTAGGAGGAAAAGGTTTGGTTGAAATAATCTTTGGCATTATCGGAGCAGAATCTCCTTATTTTAACCCTGAATTGATTTTTGATCATGGAATGAAAGAAGGGAATAATGGTGCTAACATCAGATTTATTTTCAAGGAGATAGATCCAAGAGACTCTAGTGCAATCATCAATGAATGACACAAACCAACGTGCCCAAGAGATATTGGGGATTTTTGAGGGTCTCCATATATCACTATGAATAAGGTGGAAAGGAGTATCACATCTCTCAATTTTGTTTGGGAATGAGGTTCTTTTATGTTTAGCCAACTCACAGGTTTCACTATGAAAATTTTTATTTTCTAATTTCTGAAAAAGTTGTGGATACATGTCTTAGGACATCAAAAATGATGGGTGTCCCTAGTCTATAATGATGAGCAAATATGGAAAATCTATGACAGGGATATAATGAGAGCAAATTTATTTTAGATTGGGTGTTGGTTCTTCAGGATAGTAAAATCCTGCTGCTCATCCTTAGCAAGCTCTAATTTCTTCCTGATCTCTTGTCCTGAAATAAGCAATAAGTAGGGTTTAAATAAGGCTTGACAATTATGGTCATAGAATAGTAGTTTTTTTTATTGTATTAGGATTTGTGGATAAATTGTGGTAACGTGGAGGACTTTTTCAGGGTGAGTGAGGGGATAATATTAGTCTCCTTGGCTACTAACTCTGTGGTATTAGGAACCATCAGCAATAGTGATGTTTCTTGTTGTTTGGGCAAGAAGTATAGTTTATGAGTGGGTAAGGTGAGTGGGTATGTGATCTGTGGCTCCTGAATGAAGGTCATATATCCTTTTAGATGATTTTTGAAAATCTTAAACAATAGAAATTGTCAGTCTTTAACGCTGAAGAGTGCAAGTGTAGAAGAAAGGCATTGATTTTCAATAGATACAAGCGTTTCAAATTTATCATATGTCTTACTTTATTGAGTTCTCTCAGGCTGGGATCTGTGCAAGGGCCCGAACAGACTAGAAATCAGGGTTAAGGCAGGGAAAACACCAACAGCGTGGGAACAAGGGCAAGCAGGGGAAATCAGCCAGCCAGAGAAGATTAAGACAAGGGAAGGAAGAAGCGACACAAGGGAGAAACCTAAGAACAAGAAGGGGGGGGGGGGAATGAATTCTAATATTTCATTTTGGTTAGACCAATAGACAACACGTATGTCCACTCCAACAGACTATTCTAGATTGTATTGATGAATTTGTAGTAGGAAAGGCATTTTAGTGAGTGAGAAACATAGCATATTGTGCTCAGTAATGGCTGGCTCAAGTAGAACTTAAAATTTCAGACCTTCTATACTTTTTTTGGGGAGCCCCCTTTGTCTACGATTAAATACCGTAAAGCAAGACCGGGGTTTGCTGAGGGTATGCTAGATATTGCTCAGTATTGTTCGGTATTGCTAGGTATTGGTATTGACAGATTGATATTTTTCATTATTGCCGAGCAATACCGAGCAATACACTGGTCTGCACAAATCAGCCAATACATAGCAATACCGGGTCCGGGTCGTCGGGCCGCGTGGTAAAGAGTAAGAGCACGTGACAACATGTTATTGACGTCCGGATGTAGAGCTACGTCCGGTGTCCGGACCTAATAATTTTTCCTTTATCGAACAAGCACATACAAGCCAAGTCATTATTTTTTATGTTATCTTCAATAACTTCTACTCTATCTCTCTCTCTAATAATTGTCTTTACTGTGATTTTTTTTAATTTTTTTTTTAATTTTTTTTGTCTTTACTGTGATTTGTTGAAAAGTATGTGGTTAAAGTGGCCATGTTTTCCTATCCAAAGAAATAATTAATAACTAATTATACTATACTTAGAATTATTATTAAGAAAAAAACACATTAATATTTCTAAAACAATGTTAATGTTGATTTGATTGGAAAACTCTATAGCCATTAACAAAGAAATCATATTCGGAGTGGAAGAATGCCTTGGCCATTTTTTCCTATTACATACTATCTCTTTTGCATGACTAATTTTTCACTAGAAAAAAATCATTTATCTTCTGTAAACTGCAGAGAGGCATTGATGAGAATATGGAGGCTGCATTAGAGCATAATCCTGAAGCATTTGCTCGTGTTGTAAGTAATTGTCTTCTTGCTTTTTGATTGATTGCCACTATTTTTGTTGTTTTTGATCAGTAAATCTTGTTGTAGGTTATGCTATATGTGGATATGGAAGTCAATGGTGTACCTTTAAAGGTAGTTCTTTAACAGGGTGGCTTTCTTAACTCCAAGCATTTTGAATCATAGTTTTTATCCAGTAGAAAGGTTGCCAAAATTCATTCAAACCTATTCACATGTGCACAATAAAGTGCTGATCAATATTTAATTTCTTTCTAATATGTCTTTTGACTATCTTTTAGGCCAAAATGGTATGCTTGTATTGGTTATAGATTTCATCAGTTTTCATTTTCTGCACCTGTCAGTGAGTAGGACTTATTAAGGTATAGAAACTTTTTCTTGCATCGTATGGGAAATTAAAGATGATAGAGGTATAGGTTTTAGAGAAAATGTGATTGTCTTCAGCTATAGGAAACAAGTAAACAAGAACTGTTCTTTGAAGCTATAGGGCTGTTAAGAAACTTAGATTCACAGGACTTCATTTGAATGTCAAGTATACTGTTCTTGCAGAGCATCTCTATTTTGGTGGCACTATTGGATCACAAATGTTGACATCTACATATATCTAGAACACAAATTGATCGAATGCATAGCTGTCAATGGCGCAAAATAGCGCGCGCCATGGCGCACGGCGCGGCGCGGCGCACCTACGGCGCCATGTTCATGGCGAGGTGCATGTGTTTAAAATAGCGGGCACTATTTGCGCCACATGTGAGCCTTGACGCATGTTTTTAAATTTCAGTATACTTATGAATATTTTTTATATTTAAAAATATATCTATATTTTAAGATAAACGACTATTCATTGCCCTAATTTCACGAAAGATTTTCTGTTTGCTGCATCCGCCGAACACATCCTGCAGTCCCTAAGTCGAAGTTGCTGAATCTGTCCCGAAGTCGAAGGTTTTCTGTTTTCTGTTTGCTGCATTCGCTACTTCCGCCGAATCCAGCCGAATCCAGCCCGAAGTTGAAGTCGTTGTTTCCACTGAATCGTCCCGCAGAGCAGTGCTTCCGCCAAATCCGCCCCCTCCTTTGTCTGTTCAAAAAAAAAAAAAAATCTTACTAGCTGACTCCGATTTGCAACCTCCGTCTATTCCGCACAGCTCTGTTGTTTTGCACGACTATTTCTTACAAGAATTTACAAATTAACATGTATGCTCGGTACCGTTAGGTACATGCTCGGTACCGCTATGTATATGCTGGATATCGCTCGGTACTGCTATGTACTTGCTCGGTACTGCTAGGTACACGCTCGGTACCGCTAGGTACATGCATGATACTGCTCCGTACCACTATGTAAATGTGCGGTACATGCTCGGTACCGCTCGGTACATGCTCGGTACAGCTCGGTATCCCTCGGTACATGCTCGGTACTACTCGGTACAGCTAGGTACACGCTCGGTACCGTTCAATATCTTTTCATACAAACGAACTTCAAATTACTCTTACAAATAAATTTTGTTTCGCCAGGGGGCAGCGCCCCCTTGGACCCACGGCAGCCCGCATATTATGTTTCTTGGACAATATTATGTTTCTTTTATCTAAATTTATTTGCTTTTAGGTGATCATAAAATGTCAGATTCAGTTCAATTTTTTAAAAAAGATCTAGCATGGAAATATGCTATACTAACAAATGAATCCGACAACAATAGTGTGACATACATTTTTTGTGGTAAAATAACAAAAGGAGGAATTATACGCCATAAACAACACCTCGTTGGGGGTTTTAGGAATGCAAGGCCTTGCTCTAACTGCCCCGAGCACGTGAAATCTGAAATTAAGGCATCCATGTTGAAAAAAAAGATTTAAAGGAACAGTTTAATGACATATCAAATGTCAACTTTGCTGGAGAAGGAGAAGAGTTTGATGTGCTGACAGATGATATTTTAGTTGCAAATCATCCAAAATGTTGCGGACAAATAAATCTAACACATCTAGTCAAGGATCGACATCTACATCTATCTTGAAAACATCACGACCTAAAGGTCCATTAGATACTTTCCTTACACAAAATCCTGAAGATGTAGTAAAGCATAGAAAAGGTCAGTTTAGCAAATAAATGGATGCAGCTAAAAAAGAACTGAGGGGAAGGGCTATTCAAGTGTTCAGTAGATGGATGTACGATGCTGGGATTCCATTTAATGCTGGGATGTACGATGCTGAGATTCCATTTAATGCTTACTTGAGTTAATGAGAAGGTGTACAAATCAAAGAGCACTTGCAAACCCGCAAAGACTCGTTTTGCAACAACTTTCTTAACTTTACAACATTTTCATCAACAACAACTGAACTTGAAGAAAATGTTTACTTGTGAGGAATTTATCTTGGGTCCTTATGCGAAAGAGGCTAAAGCAAAACAATATTAACATACAATCTTACAACAATTATTTTGGAACACTATATTGTATGCCTTAAAAATAGCTTGTTCTTTATTAAAGGTTCTTAGATTAGTTGATGGAGAGAAGAAGCCCCCAATGACTTACATATATGAAGCAATTGATAGAGCAAAAGAGGCAATTGCTGTAAGCTTCAATAACAGTGATAAGTATGATCAAATTTTTAAAATGATTGATAGAAGATGGGAAGTGCAATTACACCGGCCTCTACATGCAGCGGGACATTTTTTAAACCCTGAATATTTCTTCAATAACCCTGATATTGCCAAGGATAAGGAAATAACTGATGGTCTTTACCAATGTATTGAAAGATTATCTCAAGATGTAGATGAAGAAGATAAAATCAGTAATGAATTAAGTTTATACATTAGGGGTGAAGGACTATTTGGTATTCCTCTAGCTGTAAGACAAAGAACTACCCGATCTCCAGGTATCATTATTTATAAAAAAATCAAGACTGATTTGCTATATAATATTGAAAAAAAATCATTTCTTCCAACTGATTGATGGTTGGCATATGGACAAGGAGCTCCCAATTTATAAAGCCTTGCTATCAAAGTCTTAAGTCTAACATATAGTTCATCTGGATGCGAATGCAATTGGAGTATTTATGAACATGTAAGTATTTTACAATGTATGTGTTGATTTTTTATATATGTTTATAATATAGTAATGAAATTAACGTTTTAATTGTAGCTTCATAGCAAACGAAGAAGTAAATTGGATCATGGTCGCTTAAAAGATTTAGTTTATGTGAAACATAATAGAGCACTGATTCGGAGATTCAATCATCGTGATGTCATCGATCCTATTTCTTTGACTGAGATAGATGATGCAAAAGAATGGCTAACAGGAAAATTAGATGACGAGTCTGATGAAGAAAATGACTTTATTGCTGGAGAGGAAGATTTAACTTGGACATGTATTGTTAAGGCTATTGGTGTTTATGATAAAAGCTATAATATTCGGGAAAGATCTAAAGGAAAAGAGAAAGAATCTTCAATTAGGCATGATGTTGCTATTGAGAATGAGGATGAGGAGGGTGTTGAAGAGGATTATGAAGTAGGAGGATAATGGTTGATGGAAGATAATGATAGGCTTTTTTAACATTTTCTTGATGACTGAGATTCCCAAGAAGAGTAAAAGTTAAATTTTTATTGACTCTTAAAAAAAAAGATTGTAATATTTGAATTTATGAGATATTTGGGATGTATCTTGTAGTCGACTTGGATCTTCATATTATGTTATGGGTTGTCCTTTCATTTGTTAATACATATTTCATAATTCTGCTTATTATTTTATATTGTTTTTGTTTTTCGAGTTTTATATAGTTGCCGTTGCCATGTTCAAATGGCGCGCTATGCGCCCATGGCTAGTCAAAGGGACCTTTGCGCCATGGTGCGCCATTCGCGTTAGACAGGTATGATCGAATGTAACAAAAGAAAATGGAGGTAGGGATGAAAATATTGGCGCGAGAACTTTTTTAATGCATCGGTTGCATCACAAGCTCAATATGCCACTCTTTCTTGAAATGGCTCTTCGTTAGATGTGTCTAGAATGCAACTAAACCCATAAAAGAGCTCTCATGTCACCAATTTGCCATTCAATGAAACAGATGCAACATTGTGCAAAAACGTACAATCATCACCCCTTTTGCAAAATAAACTGCATCGAGGTTACTGGAACATTGAAATTACCTAGAATAAACGCCTAGATTGTCTTATCTATTGCATGAAGCGAAACAAAATTTGCTTGCATGAGCGGCAATAAAAGATTTGAGATGCACGAGAAATTGAGGATGCCAATGAATCAAATAATACTGAAATTAACTCTTTATATTATATATATATATATATATAATATGCATGTCTAACATGACAGAAATATGTAAAAGTACTCATTGCTCAATCGTTCCAACGTGATGTGAAAATCTTACATATTTTCTTGTGCTAACCCAAATTTAAGTACATGTGCGTGTTGCTGGGAAAATGCAAAAATAAGTACTTGTGGGCATTGTAGTTGGGAAAAATTCTTGTGGTTATATTTGTGTGGTACTGAAGGCCTATGCATGTTTTATTTAAGCGTGTTCGGTATAAAGACTCCCACCATGATGTTTTAGACCTTGATCATGCACCTTTTTTTGGGCCTGGTGGATAGGTCCACTACTCCCCATAGATCCTCCCTATGCGTGGCATTGAGAGGCAACCGAAATTTCAAGTGAACAAACTTGCACATGACTCAAGAGAAGAAAATGAAAGGGACTTTTGGACCTAAATAAGAGATTAAATGAAAATAATGAAAAATAAATTATGTAATAAGACAAAATGAATAAATGAACACTAGAAATATTCTACATGTCACATTAAAAGAATTGAAAAGAATAATGACTAAACACAGACAAAATCCTATAGGGGACTAGACAGCTCACCAACGAGCATAAAATCTTTCAATGAATATATGGAATATATTGAAAGAACTAAAAAGAACCCGAATAAAGCAAAAGTTATTGGGGACTTGACAATCCATGTACAAACGTGAATTGACCAATCATTGATTTTTACATTATTAAAAATCATAAAATATAATTGAACATGAAACGACTAAGAGTCTCTATTGAAAGGAAAAGGAGCACAGTTGTGAGGTTTATCTGAACATTAATGTGGATCGATTGCGAGCAAACCAACATTACTCTGGATGCACAATGAAATTATAGCTCGGTAAATTGCCACCAAATCCGCAATAGTTACATGCAAACAAACAAAAGACAATATTAAGCTTTAAAAATTGTGCACTTTCTAGATGACAATGAGCAATTAAATCTTAAATTTTCAAGTCTTTCATGTGCTTTATGAGGCAATCTTCAACTCAAATATACTGCAAATGCATCATGGGGGTACTTTGAAAAGCATGCAAGCTCTCAAATTTGTTTTAAAAATTTGGAAATTGAACTTGTGCACAGGTACTCCAACAAATGAGCCAATCACCTAAACTTAAAGTTTGAGCATGTTGCGTGCAAGAATAAATTACAAGCTTCTCGAGCTTGGAATTCTTTTAAAAAAAGCACGCAGTCATTTTGAAACTTCACAAACTCTAGGGTTGCAAGTACCATTTTTTTGAAGTTTGATCCTTCACATTGCCAAGATTGGAGTTTACATGACTTCTATCACGTGATGAACTATTGTAATGCTAATAAATAGAGGATTTTCTAATTTTCATTTTGATCTCAATCAAGTAAATTTGCAAAGCTTCATGCAAATTTATTTTAATAAAAAGTGCAAAGGCTACATCTTTCCTACAAGACAATTGCAAGTTCAACTCTCAGATAGACCTGTTGCTCTACATACGGAGTAGAGTTGACATGGTCTGTAATGTGATAAATCTCCAAACGAACTCAAATTATATGCAAGTTAGTAATCTGATCCTCTACAAGACTACAAGCAAGCAAACAATGTTAGCAAGTTTAAAGCTACATAGCTCAATAATTCAAAATATCATATGATGGGTATGGTAAAGGGGTTTATTTTCAATAGAAAAAAAAAAGGAACAAGCTCTTAATTTTGATACAAATATTTCAAACAATCCAATCCCAATGATGTCTGAGTTAAAAATAGACGTCAAAAGACATAATCATATTTTCAAAATTATCCCAAATCTCCACACAAATTGTTTTGGGCCAAAATTTCGATAAAATTTAAAAATATTAAGACATTATTAGATATAAAAATAGTTGAGCAAAATTTATTGCGTTAAAGCCCAAAGCAATTATCCAAACTTTTTCTCAGTTTGTCACGGGGATGAATTTGTAATTAATCTCATCTTACAAACTATCAATATTGTATCAAACATATGGCTGTGATCACTCTCAAAAGTTCTTATGCCAGTAAAGACATGATACGTTTCCTCTAACCCATTGGTTTTGTCGTGAAATAGCACTATTAAATATCGATTAAAAACGTGGCCTTCTGATTGAGTAGTATCATCGCAAAATGATACCTTAAATTATAGTCATGGCCTAAGCCAATTCTCAATGTCTCAACCCCCATTGAGACTTAAATTAGAGGGTGGACTTGATTGGGCACAACGTCATCCATTATTTAATGTTGACTTAGAATTGTCCATTCAGGCAAACATCTACCTTAAATCTACTAGATTCTCTTAGACGATACAACTTATGATTAATGATCAAGTTGAGTTGACTAACTCCTATGATTAAGTAGGTTATGATCAATGATAATTCAAAAAGACAAAACTATGTAATCTTGTTCAGATTTATCATTATTCCCCCATAATATGCTTTAAGCTAAGGACTGGAAATTTTCACCATTCTTTGATCTAAATTATCATTATTATATTCTAACCATTTAGCATTTAACTGATAGATCCAATTGAAAGTTCTTTTTTATCACTGAGAGGAGTAACTAATTATATTGATATACGCCTATGGCAAATCTAAAATCAAATCATAAAGTTCTTATAAAATGAGGGTGAAATCTCTGGGTAGTGTATTATTTGCATTTCAATATGCCTTTTGAAAATTTGACATGAAAAAGTTCTCTCAAAAGAGTCAGATGTGCATTTTAGGAGCCCACAACAAGTGACTGATAATGAGACATCATTTATTGGTATTTTGGATGGAAATATAATATTAGGATGTGGCTATTGTAAGATGTGAATTTCCTAACATAGGGGATGGTTCTCAAGGGATGGAGCGTAGGCCAGTTCTTCCATGCAAATTTGACTAGCCAACTCATCAATCCTTTTATTAGCATTTGAAGTTAATGCCCCACCTTTTTTTTCTAGTGAATGTAGATATTTTCAGTGCAATTGTTAGGAACAAATCACTTATCACTTGAGTGCACTTAGTGAGAAATTGAGAACCCCTGAATTGACTTTATTATTAACTTAAATAGTGTGGGGGTATTGCCATTTTAAAAAGATTTAAATTGATGTTGAAGAAGGATTCTGATAGAAAGTGCTTGCAGAAATTTCGAAAAAGCCTTAGCTGAAATCTGATTTCAACAATTTAAGAAGACCAACGACAAAAAAATCTGGAGTAGAACGCACAAGAATATTTTTTTATTGTAAGTTTTATGAAAGAAAAGGCAAGATACAAATGGATCTTCAATTGGAGAGGAAGGTGTGGCTCTCAAAAATCTCTAGCCTCCGACTAGAGCCCAAACACCTTAAGAACAATCTAATTTCAGCAAACAATGCATACCCATAAGGCCCTAACCTAGGAAAAAAAGCCCTACTTAAATCATACAACAAAAACGACAAATACCCAAACAACTCTCCCTCAATTCCCTCCCAAATCTGTCCAATTTCCTTAATTATTTCCCTTCGAAATCAGCCCTCAAATCAGCCCCCAAATCTGCCCTCTTTAATTAGAAAACATTTCCTAATTAATGCCTTCCAAATCAGCCCTCTTCTATTAGAAAATATTTTCTAATTAATCCTCTCCAAATTAGCCCCAAAATATGTCCTATTCAATTAGAAAATATTTTCTAATTAATCCCCTCTAAATCAGTCCCCAAATCAGCCACCAAATATGCATTCTTTAATTAGGAAATATTTCTTAATTAGTTTTCTCCAAATCAGCCCCCAAGAGTCGTCCAGGAAATGACCGGCAAGACCGGTCTAGGAGGGACCCAGTCAATGCCGGATGAGATCTTCAGATATATATATATATATATATATATATATATATATATAAAAGAAAGACTTTCTGTTTTCCTCAATAGAGTGTGAGAGCTTTTTACTCTTCAAAATGGTTGAATCGTTTGAGTAGGAGCTACGCATTACTCTGAATGACCTTCCTTACAAATTTTGACATTGCACATTCCAACCATTTTCCACGTACCTCCTAAATCAACATAAGACTGTGTATGAAAATTTTAAGCTTTAGCTCTTCCCTCACACGATATGCGTATGGGGTGAAAGGATAATTTACTTTAACCATATATTACTGCATGCTAGTTGCCTTTCTCGTTTCTATGTATTTAAACTCCTCTACTATTGTTTTTTTCTTCTTTTTATTCTGTTTGTGATTCATTCTGCTCTCTGCATGTATTATATCGTTCTTTTCACGAAGTCTTGATTTGGTTCGGTGTTCTTGCAAGATAAATTAGGCAGAATTTTTAATTTTTCTACAAGCATTCATTATTTTCTCTTTCAGGCATTTGTTGATAGTGGGGCACAGTCTACAATAATATCCAAAGGCTGTGCTGAGCGTTGTGGGTATGATATTTCTTATTATGTACAAAATTATCTGTTTGTTTAGTTTAGAAAATAATTATTAGAAATCTGTGCATTCATGGGATCTTACCTTTAATAAAGTGAGCATTTTATATCCCATATCATTAAAACAATTTTGTGCTTACAGTTCTTTGACCTAGTTTTAATTAGAAATGAATAATACTATGATTGTTTATGATTGTTTCTTATTAAGTATCAATGATGCCGAAGTGCTCTGAGCAGAAGCAAAACAAAGCACGGCCCTGTAACGATCAAGACATACAAGCACTTAGATGAAGCGTTTCTTTTATCGGTTTAAAATTTATGCACACCTGTTCCATTTGTTTGGAAGGTTAAATTCTTGAAAGGAGACATCTACATCTGCATTAATATATATTATATTACATATAAAAAATCATATGCGGCTAGTGTTCTAGTTGACTTCTAAACATGAAACTTATCCATTTATCTCGTTCTTGCTTGTGCTTATCACAGTTAGCAGTCTTGTGAACAATCGGTAGGTGAAAATTTTTGTATATCTAATCCAGCTCATAGGTTATATACCTTTCAAGTCCACAAACATTTAAGCCATTGTAGGTTCTTGCTCACAATGTCTTATATTTATGCACTGTAATCGATTGAAAAATGCATTGGAAATTTGAGGATATGAATTCTTTTTGGAAGCTTATGTTCTGTTACAAAGATGAAGTTGGAAATATTTATAGAGGATAACCTATGTGAGTGAGTCGCAGATTCAGAGGCTACGGTATCAAGTTTAATGTGCGTCTGTTTTGGCATGTACTACTGAAAGGAAAGTGTTGGATTAATATGAATGGGCCATGTAGAAAAAGTGCAAGTCAACATTAAGTGGGTTTCATGTAAAGTAAAAAAAGAAGAAGATATGTTAAGAATATTCAGAAGGATTTACAGTTGTGATGCACAAAAATGGAGACTGATTCAAGGACATATCATACAGACATGAAACAAGAAAATTCTTAAAAAATATAGGATATTAAATTATATATATATATGTGTGTGTGTGTGTGTGTGTGTGTGTGTGAATGAGAATCTATGAGAACCCATCTTATTAATATGAAAGAGAACTTACATAATGAAGTACATGATTAAGAAAAGAACAAATATTAACAAAAAAAAGAGTTATCTGTGTATATATACTGAAATACAGACAAATCACTTTCTGACATATTAACAAATTTCTAAATCAAGTATGATGAATAATAGGGGAGAAAAATCTTAGTTCTCATTATTTAAAATTAAATAGGATTAATCTAATTTCTGATAATTTTAGTGGCATAGTTTATTTTTAATGTATCCAATAGATTCATGATGTAATGAGAGAAGTTTCCAAAAGTTTATAAGAGGTGTCAAAGATGTCTTGAAATTTTCAAAAAAAAAAAAAAAACACTCCAAATAGTAGGTTCAACATCATTCCCTGAAGTGTCCAAGTATCCAACGTAGTGGCTGCATGTCATGGAGGCCCTTTAGGAGTTTTCATGCTTCTTTTGATGTTTAGTAAAGGATAAGCAAAATGTTTGTGGTGATGGTATTGATGCCCCAACCTACTCGAAGGGTGAGAATGCTAGTGGACTTGGTACTTATGCTGGCCAAAGGGCCAAGTAGTGATCTGATTGATTATAATCTACGTAACTACATTTGTAGCAATTAATGTAGTTGAGGTGAGGATAAGAGTAGTGTTGTGTCTGTCGAAGTTGTAACTCCACATGTAGAAATATTAAGTAGCAATACAAGAGCCTCAAAAGTATTAAGTAGCATTACAAGAGCCTCAAAAGTGTCTCGAAAAGATAAAACATCTTTGATGTTAATTACTGGACTATATTGTAAATATGGAGCCAATTCTACATAGTATGCCTTTGAGCTTATATTTTTTAAAATTATAAATGATTCGCAAACCGAGCATGGAGTTTAGCAATCATCTCTCTTACTTTAGCATGCCCTTTATTAATCTAATTATTAAAAGTGGTAGCACTATGTGAATATGATGCATGTTGGGGTAATGTAATAAAAAATTATAGGGTTTTAAATAGACATTTTGATGTGAAACCAGGAATTGTTTTTTTAGAAATTAATAAAATTTGTCGGAGCAATGATAAAATAAATTTAAAGCTTCTCAAAATTGAAAACTCAAGAAAGATCTAAGAAGTCAACTATGCATTAGGCAATCCGTTACAACTAAATTTGCAAGTTCCTTAAAATAACAACTTAAGCAAACATAATGAAATGATCAGCCAACTAGAATCCGACGGTTAACAAAGTAATCGTCTCACCTTGAGGCTCAATGTTGACGTACTACTTCTAGGATTGACGGAGGAAGAAGAACCATACGAGAAACGAGATCACTCCAAGGTAGACGACGCAGACGATCCGTAGTGGTGGCGAGGGAAGCGTCGGCGGTGAAGGTGGGGAAGCATTCTCCAACACTCAAAGTCACTCTTCTACTTCTAGGATTGACGGAGGAAGAAGAACTATACGAGAAACGAGATCACTCCAAGGTAGACGGCGCAGACGATCCGTAGTGGTGGCGAGGGAAGCGTCGGCGGTGAAGGTGGGGAAGCGAGTGGATGTCCGTTGCTGGTTCAGTCGTAGTCTGAAAATTGACCGTCGATGACATGCACAAGGGTGGGGAGGATTCGATCCAATTAATCTTTAATGGTGTCGTCGTGGTCAAACCCCACGTCGAAGAATGGGGATCGGAGAATGTGGATGTCTCCGTAGACGTCGAAAATGAGCCCGCCTTCAAGTTCAGGATCCGCCATGCATCCTTGCTCCGGGTTGAAGGTGAAGTTATTTAGGGGAGAGAAGAAATCTGAAACTTAATTTCAGATTCTAATTAGGGGAAAGAGGGAAGAAACGATTTCAAATTTCAGATTTTTGAAATATGAAATAAAGTCTTAAAAAAAACTGAAATCACCTCTATGAGAGAGAGGTATTTAAGAGGTGTTTAAGTGGTGGTGATGTGGAAGTAGAGAGAGAAACAGGAGGGGTGAGGTGGCCGGGCAAAAGGGAGAGAGAGAGAGGTTCGGAAATAAGTGGGTGGGGCCCAAGGGATTAAATAAATTAAAATCAAATCTGATTCTAAATTCAGATTTAATTTAACTTAAGAAAGTTTCAGATTTAGGGGACTAATGGAGGGAAAGGGGTTTTGAAATTCAAAATTGAATTAAATCCCAATGAATGACCTCCTAAATAGAGAGAAGCTTTCTTAGGAAAGTCAATTACTCCATGGAATTTGAAATTCACAGAGGATGGTGGGGGGCCGGCGGCAAAGCTAGGAATCTGAGGAGGATCGGCAGGATGGCTGTCGGGCTGGACTGGTTTCCAGCCGACGGTGGAGCCAGGTGGGGACGGCGGGAAGGTGGATTTTGGGCTGGCAGAAGGTCCAGCCGTCAGTAGGCTTGTAGGGGTCTTGGGAAAAGTCTGAGGAGGGAGATGGAGGTAGGAGAATCGGGGAGGGAGGAGGTTCTTCAACTAGGAGAAGAAAAGAAACTCTTCCTCAAGAACTCACTAAAAGATCTTGGGGAATTTCACTCAAGAACTCACTAAGAGATCATAACGAAATTTTCATTCATCAAAACTAAACTCAAATACAATGACTAAGCCTATATATAGGCCATCCGAAAATAAAAACCATAAAGACGACATTGCCCTTGGGCTACAATAAGCACTAACTCCCTTATAGGGGTACAAATGGAAAACATGAAATATAAATGACAAGAATAAAATAAAACATAAAAAATAAAGACTATGAATCATGGCCGTCGCTCGACGACCCCTCCGATGGTAAGTTTGCCGAAATCTCCTATGGATGTCCTCATCACATTTGTGATAACTGCAAATGAGGATTTGCATGTAATTGTTGATTAATTATGGAATTATATGCAAATTCAGCCATAGGTAGCATTAAATCCTAAGTTCTTAACATCTAAGAAGTTTTCCTAAACTATAATTGATAGTCTTTGTTTGTTCATTGGTTTGAGGATGGAAGGCCAAGAAAAATTTATGTTTAGTGTAAATCATTTTCCACAAATTTTTTCAAAAATGGCTTATTAATATCAAAGTCAGATAGAATCGTAGAAGAAATATGATGCTTATGAACTATTTCCTTGAAGAATAAACATGTAACATGTGGAGTATTTGTTATTTTTTTGCATATACATTCATAAAAGGTATACCACGCAATTTTAAATTTTCCTTAGAATAAAAGTGCATTTTGTGAGTGTTTGTAGTTTTAGTGCAAGATAGGAAGTAATTAATCTTAGAGAACCTATCAACCAATGTAAATGTTTAATCATAAGATCATAAGATTGAGCAATGCGAGCTAATCCTTAAAAAAGTTCATGCTTAAATTGGGGGGGGGGACGGCGGAGCATTATGTTTAGCAATCATATCTCTTACTTTGGCATGCCCTTTATTAATCTAATTATCAAAGAGGTAGCGCTATGTGAATATGATGCATGTTGGGGTAATGTAATAAAAAATTATAGGGTTTTAAACAGATATTTGTGATAACTTCAAATGAGAATTTACATATAATTGTTGATTAATTATGGAATTATATGCAAATTCAGCCATAGGTAGCATTAAATCCTAAGTTCTTATGTCTCCAATTTAACATCTAAGAAGTTTTCCTAAATTATAATTGATAGTATTTGTTTGTTCATTGGTTTGAGGATGGAAGGCCAAGAAAAATTTTAGTTTAGTGTAAATCATTTTCCACAAAATTTTTCATAAATGGCTTATTAATGTGTATCAAAGTCAGACAGAATCATAGAAGAAATATGATGCTTATGAACCATTTCCTTGAAGAATAAACATGTAACATTTGGAGTATTTGTTATTTTTCTACATATACAATCATAGAAGGAATACCACACAATTTTAAATTTCCCTTAGAATAAAAGTGCATTTTGTGAGTGTTTTTAGTTTTAGTGCTAGATAGGAAGTAATTAATCTTAGAGAACCTA